ATGGCACATATATATATATATATGTGTGTGTATGTATGTATGTATATACATTTGCATATGCACATCTGCAAATAAACATATATAAATATAAATATTAGATATGAATATGAATATAAATATAAATATAAATATAAACATATATATATATATAGATGGACATATGTATTTGTTAATTTCTGTGTTTGGGTTTAGGGTATAGGGTTTAGGATTTAGGGTTCAGGGTATATTCGCTATTTGTTTATTTCTCCACACAGACACACACGTGCATTGATGTATGTCTTTATTTCTAGGCGATATTTGCGTTTTTTTATGTGTGCATTGCAAAAGATTTTGATCAAATGGAGTTTATAGGGCTTCGGGTTCCTGATCTTGAGGTCAACAGCGCCTACGATGGCGACATTACAGCACCCTGCCAAGAACCTTTGCAGCCGCAGCTAGCAGAAGCCCCCAGGACCCTATGCTGAAACCCTCATGTATTGTAGCGTTGAGGGTTTAGAGTGGCGGTTCATGGTTTCGGGTTTAGGCTTAAGCCTCAAGGTAATTATACACATAAGGGGAAACCATGAAACCAAATTAGATACCCGCTCCATTCCGATAAGTTACTGGGGAAACTCGCAGAGTCCCGCGCTATCTCAAACCCAAGCCCCCCAAGTTGCTTCTGGTGTCCTTCTGAACACCAAGTTGCTTACACCCTAGACCCTAAACCCTAACCCTAAACCCTAAACCGTAAACCCTAAACCCCCAACCCGCATGTAGAGCAGGCCCACAGTGACATGTACTCCACGGCACAAGTAGATTAGCCACCCAAACCAAAACGGCGCCCCCCCTAAACCCCAAGCCCAAAACCCTCAACTGCACTTTGTCGGACTTTATCTGAAGGTCACGGGATCTAGCTTAATTAGTCTCTTGCATGTTTTTTGTCATCCTGCAGTGACGCTGACACTTCTATGAGGAGAGAGAGAGAGAGAGGGGTTTAGGGTTTAGGGTTTAGGGTTTAGGGTTTAGGGAGAGAGTGAAACCCTCAACTAGACCAGCTACGAGGTGACCTGTATCAAGGGCGGCCTGACCGCCGACCCTTCTGCCTGCCTCCCAGCATGCCCGGTGGCCCAGTGGGTCTAGGGTTCAGGGTTTGGAATTTAGGGTTCAGGGTTCAGGGTTTAGGGTTTAGGGTTTAGGGTGGGTTTACGGTCTAGGGTTGAGGGTGGGTTTAGGGTTTACTGTAGGGCTTAGGGCCGTTTAGGGCTCAGGGTTCCGAATCTCCACCCTGGAACTTGCAACGTAAGACTCTAGCCCATACTCAGAGGTTCCCGGGCACCACTAACCCCAACTATGTACTTACTTCTAAAGTACACTTATCATTGTGGTGTATCAGTACCCTTGAATCTTCCCTGATTTGGGCATTATTTTGGGCGCGCAAGGTCTCACGTCCTACACGGCCTCGCTCACGCTGGGCTCAGTGAACTACACGGTGGCGGCCCAAGCTTGTTATAAGGCTCGTTTTGCGGGCGGCTCTTGCAAGATAGAGCACGTAGCTACAATGGAGCCCAAAGCTAGGGTTTAGGGTTTAGGGTTTAGGGCTTAGGGTTCTAGAACTACCAATCCGATCATGGAGGCTTTTGGTCGATAATCTTTCCACGCCCCGAACTCTTTGACTGTTTCACTGCAGTGCCGTACAGCTTAACTCCAGTGTCGGTCGGTAGTGGCTGTAGTTCATCCGGGCATTTATGAGGGGTTCTATGATGAAGCTCACATGGCTCGAGAAGTGCAAGGGGGGCACTGTCCGAACCTAGGCATCGAGCTGGAAGCCTGTAGTTGAACACACCAAAGCGAGAGTTTAACAAGCAGTACTCGTACGGTGGACCATGAGCAAAGAATCGAGATGAGCCTTCGCCGGCACAGAGGCAAACAGCCCAGACCCCTGCCCATTGGAAAGCTGACGGGGGAAATCCAGAGCCAGGTGAAAAAGGTTGACCTGCAAAGCAAGCATCATCCCTTGACAAGAACACCCTGAGGAGTCAAGCACCCCATTCCCTTAACCCTGTACTTCCACCCCAAGCCCGAAGGTAAGCCCCTGAGCCCCCTCGACCCTAATTCTCCCCCCCCCCCCCCTCCCCCCCAAACCAAAATCCCCAGCCCTGTGCAGGCCCCCATTAAGAAGAGAGGGTTTGGGGTTTAGGGCTTAGGGTTTGAGTTTAGGGTTTTTAGGGTTTTTAAGGGTTTTTTTAGGGTTTTTTAGGGCTTTTAGGGTTTTTTAGGGTTTTCTAGGGTTTTTAGGGTTTTTAGGGGGCTTAGAGCTTCGGGGAGATTGGGGCTCCGGCCGAGGTGAGCCCTGCGAGTCGCATGGCGGAGGGCGGCAACGAGACCCAGCAGTGTTCCGCACTTTGGCCGCAGCTCTTCTTCGGCCTTTGCCAAACAATGTATATATATATATATACATATACATATATATATATATATATATGGATATGTATATATATATATATATATATGTATGTATATGTATGTAGAAAATATATGTATATAGATTGTAGACATACTTATTTTTGATGTATTTCTACATACACACACATATATATATATATAGCAATAAATATTAAATCTGTGAATATATATATATATATATATATGTGTATTGTTTTTTTATCAGTTTATGTAGTATAAATATTAATATCCATAGGTGTATGTAAAACATGTGCACTTGAATTCTGTACGGTTTCGAGTTTAGGGCCCCTCCCCCCCCCCCAAAAAAAAAAAATAAAAATAAAACATCGATGGGCCGTCTTGTGACCGAACCCGTTTCAAAACGGGTTCGATCCAAGGGTTCGGGTCTCGTGCGTCGTCGTGTGGGCTACTAGCAGGTGCTTCGGGTCTGTAAATCTCCCCTTCCCCGCCCCCCTTCCCCGCCCCCCACCCCCCAACCCACCCGTACCCCTTGAAAACCTTCCATCCCTTCGATTCCTAAACCCTAAACCCCCTAAACCCGAAACCCTAAACCCTAAACCCAGGCCCTCGGTCCTGAGCACGAGGGAACGATGTCGGCCTGGAGCCTGTTTGGGAGCTTCGGGGCGCTGGGCTTCCGGGTTTCTGTCATGGCTTCCCCTCCTACCTCCCGTCTATACTACCTTTGGGGTTTAGGGTTTGGGGTTTAGGGTTACTACCCCCCCCCCCCCCCTCTATACAGTAGAGAGGGGGGTAGTAGGGGAAGCCATGTTTCTAGGGTATGAACGCCCACCGTTCTGTAGGTTACCCGAGAACGCCATAAGGGTGGGCAGAATCAGAACACCCTAAACCCTAAAGCCTACACGCTAGCGGGCTTGCAGTTCTGAAAGTAACCCTAAACACTAGACCCTCAACCCTAAACCCTAAACCCTAAACCCTAAACCCTAAACCCTAAACCCTATAAGAACCCCAGGGTTTTGGGTTTCAGTCCGCTGCGCCGGAGGGCATTCTCAGTCATTTCGTATGGGCTTCCCAGGAGAGCTCTGCGGTTTAGTGCTTAGGGTCAGGGTTTAGGGTTTAGGGTTTAGGGTTTTAGGGTTTTAGGCTTTTAGGCTTTTAGGGTTTTAGGCTTTTAGGGTTTTGGGGTTTTAGGGTTTTGGGGTTTTGGGGTTTTCGGGTTTAGGGACACATATCCGTGTGGCTCTCAAGACTGATGGGCCCACAAAAAGGATCCTGGGGTCTGGTTTGGGGTTTAGGGTTTAGGGTTTAGGGTTTAGGGTTTGGGGTTTAGGGTTTAGGCTTTAGGCTTTAGGCTTTAAATACCCTTTATATATCCCATTAAATGCCCTATAAACCCCAAGGGCCCAAGGGCCCCATACTTCAGAGTTGGTCAAAGAAGCTGAGGGGCCATATGAAGCAGGGTTTACATTTCTGTTTTTGGTGAGTGTATATAAGGTTCCTCTTTAATATTTGTGAGTGTATATACCTGGTGTCCTTTTGGGGGTACAAGAAATATATACCCTACTTCATATAAAGAGGCCATGTACCCTTAGATGAAGAGGGCCTCCCCCTTTAAACTACTCCTCATATGGCGCTGATATTCGTTTGGGGATCTTTAAAACGGTTTCCAAAAACCCCAGATTACAACCTAAACCCTAAAAACCCTAAAAACCCAAAAACAACCCTAAAAACCCTAAAAACCCTAAAAGGATCCTTTGATGAAGAGAGTTTGCGGCGGGGAGTTCGACAGATTCATGTGGCCAGGCATCCCCAGGCTCTAGAGTTTTTAGGGTTTACGGTTTAGAGTTTAGGGTTTAGGGTAGTTGCAGGGTCTTTTGAGGCAATTTGGGCCGTTCAGGGTTCAGGGCTTTGGGTTTAGGATTTTGGGGTTCAGGACAGGTAGGCTCGCTTTGCCAAGCCTTTCCTGCCTTGCACGGCAGCTGAGGTTTCTTGCCGTTCGGACCTTAGCAACTTTTTGTTGCCAGGGGCACTTGCTGATGTAGAGTCACGAGGATCAGTGAGCATCGAGGAGGATCGTGCACTTGTAGAAGCTGTTACATCAGGGGTTCCCCTACTATTTAAGGATACTTAAGCCTAATTAAGGTTACTTAAGGGGGGAATCCCCTACTACTTAGGGATAATTAAGCCTAACTAAGGTTACTTAAGGGGGGGAACCTACAGGGGGGCCGCATAGAGGGGGAAGTAGGGAAACCCATGATTCCAGCCGATCCTTGACATGTTGCGGAGCGTGTTCCCCTAAACCCTGAACCCTAAACCCTAAACCCTAAACCCTAAACCCTACACCCTAAACTAGGCGTATTCCACCTGTCCAGCCGAGGATCTGGTGTTGTGCCGGGGGCCCAGCCCAGCACCATTCAGGGTTTAGGGTCCAGGGTTCACGGTCCAGGGTTTAGGGTTTAGGGTTCAGGGCTTAGGGTTCAGGGTACTCGAAGCAACCCGAAACACCGTGCTCCGCAGTCACTTTGGCTCAGAGCCACGTCGAATTCAAGCTCCACTCCCGCCACTCTTGCTGTCCTTCCTCCCATCTCTTTCCAGTTGCCATGTCTGCCTGTCGGCTTCGGAAACCGGCGGTGCCTCGCGACGTGTTCACCTGGGTGTGCGGCCAGCAGGTGAAGGCGACTCACTTACGCCAAAAGTTGGCCTTTAAACTTTCTTGGGCTTCCTTACTTAGTAGGAATAATCAATTTTTACCCTGTTTTCCCTTGGTTATTGGAGAAGTAAGGTGAAGAACACCTTCTTGGATGTGCGTCCCGAGCACTCTTCCTCCAACGAGTCCACCCTGACTGCAGAGGCAATGACCTGCCTGGAGTTCACAAGGTGCAGCGAAGCGCTCTCGAGCAGCTCCAGTAGCCAGGACCCAGAGCAGGGCCGCCCTGATTCTTTTTTTATTTTTCAGGGCTTAGGTTGCCTGATAAGCTCCTTTAAAATCAAGCAGGGCACCCTTTTTCATTCCTAAACCCTAAACCCTAAACCCTAAACCCTAAACCCTAAACCCTAAACCCTGAATTGCTCTTGGACCCAGGTAGCCATGGTAGCCATGGTGCAGGGCAGGAGAACCTCCCTCTCGACGTCGAGCTCCCAAGCCCCCTGCTGACCTTGTCAACGCTCGGGGAGGCCTGGCAGCCGGACCCAGCCGGTGGCTGCTTCGTAGTAGAGGGAGTATCCTTTAAACCTTTTTTTGGGGTACTAACTCTATTTCCTATATAATACCTTTAGCCTTGTTAGGGTATTCTATTCCCTATAGAATCCCAAAAGGTCCTTTGACTCCCCGAAAATGCTGGACAACTTAAGGCTGTATGGGCCCAGTAGTGGAGCCGCTTTGCTCGCAAGACGTGAACCTCCACCTCGCAATGCACCAAGAGCTCCCCAGATGCGCACAGTGGCAGTGCACATGGGGGTTTACGAACTTAGGGGGGCCCCTAGTACAGGCCCCCAAATTGTGGAATTCCCTTGCAATAAGGACCCCAATACGGCCCCTAATACCGTAGACCCCCATATTCCTCTCTCTACATGACGCCTCAGCGGCTCCCTTCAGAAAATCCCCCTCTTGAACAGCAAAAGGCCTCCCACCGTTTCCGTTGTTTTCACTTGGGAACCTACTCGTAGTCAGCTAGGTAGGCACTTGGGAGATTTCATATGTTCCTTTGTTGGGTTTAAGAGAATCATATGCAGGAATATTTGTCAGAGGGTTTTTAGGAGGGCCAGCCTAGTCAGGCTCCTGACAGCGATTCAGAGGATGCCTTCGCTGCCCTTCACAGACATGGTCCTTGGATCCCAGGCCCGCATCGAGTTGCCGCTGCTTCCCCTGCTGCCGGAGGCTTGGTGACAGCCCAGGGGGTACCCTTTGCCCTTGTTTTGTTGGGGGGTTCCAGGTTCCCTTCCCTTGCAAAGTCAGCAGCCCTTGTTGTAAGATGGTTCCTGGGCTGCCGAGGAGGTCGCAGGATCTCCCGTGCTGAGCACATGTCCCGGGCAATGGGAAGCAGGCTACGGCCCCTGGCAGCCCGAGCCTGGTGCCATCGAGCCGCCCATCGGCGACTCGGACAAGGCCTCGCCACTCTCAGCCAGTCCCCGCCGCGTACATGTCGAGGGCCTGACCACCCATGGCGGCGTGGATGCGGCGGCGGCGAAGATGAAGCCAGCGAAGAAGCACAACCCGGCGAACAAAATCTGGTGCCACTTCTTCATTGACCCCATGATGCGCCGGAATGGCTTCGACGTCAACAAGAAGCCGCTAGGATTTTCCCCCTGTGTTGAGGGGTTCGGTTCCTTCATGCTTGTTGCATGGTGCTTATAAAGCCCTTTAAAAGCAAACATCCTCTTCTTTGCTTGGTTACCGGAGAACTGAGGCTCATAGGCCATGGCGGCTCGAACACAAAGCGCATCTACGAGGACCTACGGGTAGTTCTATGGGCCCTTAATGTGGTCCCTTATTGAAAGGGCTCTGAAGTATGGGTTGTATAGGGAATAGAACTTCTATTCCAAAACCCTAAACCCTAAACCCTAAACCCTAAACCCTAAACCCTAAACCCTAAACCCTAAACCCTAAACCCTAAACCCTAAACCCTAAACCCTAAACCCTAAACCCTAAACCCTAAACCAACTACCCGAAGAAAGGAGACCGGAGCCAAGATCCGCCTCCGCGGCCGCGGCAGTGGGCACATTGAGGGCCGTGGCGAAGCCCCGGCGCCAAGACGCGCTGTTGGGTTTAGGGTTTAGGGCCGTTTAGGATTTAGGGTTTAGGGTTTAGGGTCTAGGGTTTAGGGTTTAGGGTTTAGGGTTTTGAACTCTCTTGTTAAAAGTTGCGTAAGGTCTGCGTTTGCGGCTGTTTTGTTGGTCGACCTGTCTGTATAAAAGAATAGATAGGGAGTCAGAGACAGAGAGACACATGTGTACATGTGTATATATATATATATACATGTACATATACATATATATATATACATATTATGCAACCGCCTAAGCATCGCAAAACACCCTAAACCCTAAAGCCCTAAACCCTAAATCCATTTCGAGTTGTAGAAAGATAAGGACCCCCGAAGCATGTAAACTATGCACACGTCTATTGATTAAATTGCAATGTCATGATTCACGAACTTCTCTGTGTGTCTGTATTGATAGGCTGAATAATTCCACAAGTCATAGAGGATGGGCGAGGGACAATTCAAACATTCCGTTTAACTCCGAGTTCCCAAAAAAGTTACACAAAATCCAGAAGTTGCAAGAATCCAAAGCTATGTGCAAGATGGGATTGGGTACACCTGCCCATTCAGGGAAACGGTTTCAATTTTTCCGAGATCCCTGATGCCCAATTTCCAAAAAAATCAACAATGTCGGAACCATGTCCACGGCCCAAAATCAACAAGCCAACAAAACGAATGCTTTTAATCTGTCCAAGCAAATGATAAAACTAAATCCAAAACTCACGATAATCCCAACCACCGGGTTGGAAGACTGCTTCGGTCCACAAATATCCGGAAATTACAGCGCGCCTGGTTGGAAGACTGTTTTGGCCCACACAAAGCCCAGAAATTGCAGCCCGCCTGGCTGGAAGACTGTTTTGGTGCACCATGACCCCATTGCCTATCCCCACCTTAATTAATAAGGGACCATCCGCAGAAGAGATGTTTTGGGTTCAGAGGTTTGTGGTTTAGGGTTTATGTAAGAGGGCTTGTAAGCGCAGCTGAGGTGCCTCTGATGCTGGCAGTCACCTCGGACCTCTCGAACCAAGACAACTTCCTGGTCGCGATGCAGCAGTCGGCCAAGCTGCTCGATCGTGTGACCGGCAGATACCCAGACTCCTGGGCTGATACCCAGAGTAGGCCCTCATTCACTTTTTTTTCGGGTTTGGGGGTTTAGGGTTTAGGGCAAGAGCTAGGACCCGGAGTAGGCCCTTGTTTATTTATTTTTTGGGGTTGGGGTTCCCTCATAATCCCCTCAAAACCAAAAAGGGCGCCCTTTTCGTTCCAAGGTGACTCCTGGGTCTAGTATGGTACCCATCTTGGGATTCATTCTATGGAGGTTTCAGCAGGGGTTGTAAGCACCCATGAACCTCCAAGTATGGTCCCTGAATCCGATAAGATACCCAACAGTCCACTGGAGGTCAGTGTCCCCCCCCAAGAAAAAATGTATATCCTCATTAACTGTAGCCTTGGACCCCTAAGGTTGTACTGTTGGGTTTGGGGGCCCTTTTAAAGACGCTCTAAGCCAAAGTAGGGGCCATATACGAGCATATGAATGGAACCTTTGAGGTGTACAACCTCAGGGGGACCTTGAGAGCTCTTAGGATAGTTACATGGTCCTTTGGTATGAGCCCTTAAACGGAGCAGACATCAGAACCCTTTAAAGGAGGTTAGGGGCCATATTTAGAGATCCTCTCAACCAGGGAATATAGGGGGCCATATAAGGAGTATATTAAGGGAACCTTTGACGGGCGAGTCTTAATCCCTTGAAATCCAGCCGAGGATTTCTGCAAGGTTAACATACCCCTAAACCCTAAACCCTAAACCCTAAACCCTGAACCCTGAACCCTGAACCCTAAACCCTAAACCCCAAACCCTAAACCCTAAACCCTAAGCCCTGAACCCTAAACCCAAGCAACTCAGAGCCTAAACCCGAAACCCTAAACCCCAAACCCTAAACCCTAAACCCTAAGCCCTGAACCCTAAACCCAAGCAACTCAGAGCCTAAACCCGAAACCCTAAACCCTCAACCCTAAACCCTAAAACCTAAACCCTGAACCCTAAACCCTAAACCTATATACCCCAAATCCAGCCGAGGAGTTCTGCAAGGTCTACGGCATCCCGCCGCCCACAACGGCGCTCTTCTGGATCGGCGAGCTGAGCCCCGAAGCTCTGAGTTGCTTGGGTTTAGGGTTTCGGGTTTAGGGTTAAGGGTTTAGGGTTTGGGTTTTGGGTTTTGGGGTTATTGGAGAAGAAAGGTTGCTGGAGCTGGACCACGGACGGCAGAGTGCAGAGTCTTGGCAGCCCCAGTGGAATACACTTTAAAACGATTTGACGGTGATTCACATCCTTTTCGAGCGCACCTGTAGAACGCACGTAGTGGTCCTTCTGTTTTTGTTGTTTTTTTGTTTATGTTTTTTGTTTTTTTTTTTTTTTTGGGGGGGGGGGGGCTTAGGGTTTAGGGTTTAGGGTTTAGGGTTTGGGGTTTAGGTTGCTGGGGTGTTTGGGTGCTAGACCCCTAAGGATTGGCAAGGTGGCTGTATTCATCGCCGCTGATGTGAGCAGCCTGGCCAAGCCCACGGCCAAGCCCCGCGGGAACGAACCGCCCTGAACCCTAAACCCTAAACCCTAAACCCTAAACATCAGCCATATGAATGCTATGGTTACCTGGACCTTGGGATGCTTCCCCTGATACGAACTGTCCTCAGTGGGGATTGTAGTACCACGGGGGAACATCCAAGCCTGGACCTTTTTACGCAGTCTACTCATGACCATGACTGACTGTTATTTCTTGTCATTGGTGCTATTGCTACAGTTCCTGCTATGTTTGTTTAATATTGGATCTTTTGTATAGTGATGAATCTATGTATAATTTGTCATTTGTCATTGTTTTTGGTTGTTCTTAGTAGTATATGAGTATTCTTGGTATCGGCATTGGCCGTGGGGATGTTAGTGGGTTTGTTAGTTTACCCAGGAGCCTAAGCATTATAGGGTTCTTGGGGGGGGGGGGGGGGGAGTTCAAGCAGCTAGGGAAGCTTAGGGAGCCTTAGGGACCACTTAGAAGCCCTTTGGACGTAGTAAGTCTAGTTCGTATCCCCTAGAATTCTCTATTGTATTCCCCATAACCCACCTTGCTAACCCTACTTACTAAGTCAAAAGGGCTTCCGAGTAGTGGGGAGTATTGGGACCCCTGGGCTAGATGCCCCCGCTTGAACCCCCCTCTCTCTTAAGAATCTATGAAAATAGTTACCAGTCTTTGGAGGGTTTAGGGTTTAGGGTTTAGGGTTCAGGGTTTAGAGTTTAGGGCCGAATCCTTAACCCCAAACGCTTCAAGAATTGAGGTTACTTGCACAGTCCCATGAACATTCAAGTAGGAACCCAAGATACCTGGATCCCTAAACCCTAAACCCTAAACCCTAAACCCTAAACCCCACATCTGAGCAGGGGTTCGTGAAGCTTGTTGCTGGAAGGTTTGCATGAGCCTTGGTGCCCCGAAGGGGTCCTTGAACCAAAAGTAGCCTCACCACCTGAGGCGGTGTCAACAGTTTGGGTTCGAGTTTCGCGCGTAAAGTAAACTAACAGCCCAGACCCATGCAAGGAAGGATCTAAAGAGTAGAGTTGAACCCTAAACCCTAAACCCTAAACCTTAAACCCCAAATCCCCAAATGGTACCCTATACTACTTTTTCATCTTTAGGAACCCTTATGGGGATCTACTTTTTGGGGTCTGGGAGGATATGATTCTGAAGGTTCCCTAAACCCTAAACCCTAAACCCTAAACCCTAAACCCTAAATTCTGGGATAAGGAGTCGAGTTAGCGTCCTTTTTCAAGCCCAAGCTGAATCCACACCAGCGTTTTGTTTTTACTCAGACGCTGCAGCTGACATCAGAGTGGTTTAGGGTTTAGGGTTTAGGGTTTAGGGTTTAGGGTTCTTGGCGCTGCGGAGAACCGCGTGCGCACGTCAGATCTCATGCCGGCTGGCAGCCGAGTACCTTAATTGCTCTACGAGCCTTTGCATCAGGAGGTTGTTCGAAATTCGGGTCCCTTCTGGGGGTTCTTATGACTAGAGAAGGTAGCTATTCCGGCTATACCCAATGCTCAGACCCTAAACTTCCTAAACCCTAAGCCCGATGATTTGGAACGACCCCCACCCCAATGTTTTGCAGTGAGCCGCCGTGTGGCCTGTTTTTCCCTTCGCCACGCTGTCGGACTTGGTTCCTGCTTCCCAGGGCGGGAGCTGCAGGTAAGGCTTTGGGGTTTAGGGTTTAGGGTTTAGGGATTAGGTTTAGGGTTTGGGGTTTAGGGTTTAGGGTTTGTACCTCAGACCTTACGGCCGATACATCGAGTAACCCTCACATCCATAAGGTTGAGGTCGGATGAGCGCCATCCCCCCATCCCCCGTCCAATATTATCATTGGGGCTTATAAAGTACGTCCTTTATTATTATCATGCGGTGAAAGAAACCCCAACTTTGAGACAGGATTCTGGAAGAGGAAATCATTTGTAGCCGCTAGAAAGAGCTGGGTGACGAATCCGAGGGCCTGCTACGGATCACTGACTGTCGATGTCATTGCAATTTTTCTGCTTCGGCAGTCGGCAGCATTTCCACTATTGCAAACCACCTGGGTTGTTCTGTGACTACTTTTACTACAGTTTTTCTGGTTCGGCAACATGTCGGACGACTGTCGTACTGTTCTGAGGGCACTTTGTATTATGCTTTTTGTTACTTTTTCAGGAAGCTCTGTTTCGGCAACATTTCGCCCTCTTATGAACCACTTGCGGTATCATCGCTGTTCTTATAGTACCCTAAACCCTATATGGGTCGCTTAGCTCTAAGAAAAGGGGATGCTTTAATGATTTGTTGGATATGCGCTTTCTACATGGTTTTGTAACCTCTTCTTGCAATTGCTTAAAAGCCCCCCCCCCCAAAAAAAAAAAAATATAAAATATCTAAAAATAAACATATTCTTCATTATTAAGGGTCATATAGGGATTGTTGTTTTCATTCTTTTGGGGTTCTTAAGCACATAGGAGCTTGGGGTAGGTAAACTCGAAGCGCCCTGCACTCAGAGGCCCATTGGAGAAGTGATATGAGTTGGCTGGGGGCCGTCCTTGTGTCCAAAATGGATGTCCTTTTCCCTTGGCGCCAACTCCGCTGCGACTCCGCTGATCGGTGCGCCTGAGCGTCTGAGAGCTCCGGGGGCAAAAAGCAGTCTCGTCTTCGGCATGAAAGTGCCGAGTGCTGAGGAAAGCCGGGGATGTTTATGTTGCGTCGTTTGCGGGTGTTGAGGTTGTTAATTCTTACAGGCCCTTTTCTGGTACCCAGGACAAGGACACGAAGTACAAAGGAGGCCCTGAAGGCCCTGAAGATTGAGCCTCTAGGGTCTCGGGTGTACGCTTGGGGGGGTAAAAAGGGAGGTTTACGGGGCCATCCGACTGGGCTCTTGTTAAGGAGCTTGACACGTCTCCAAAAAGGACCTCTTTAAAGGTCCTTATTATAAAGGCGGCCCCTTCCTATTTAGGGCATCCGAAAAGGGACCACAGTTTACGGAACTGCCCATGTAATGTATCTGAGGAATATGGCCCCTTTCCTCCCTTAAAGGGTTCTGATGTATGGGCCCTTACTTTGTAGAGGGCATAGGGGTACATAAGGGGGTACCCTTTTCAGGGCCCCTAAGTACTTCGGGACCATGTAACTACTTGTACCCAAACTAAATCAGTGTTAGGGATCCTTTTTACTTTTTGGGTTATGGGCTTTCTTATATATAAACAAAAAGGATCCTTTTTTCTTCCTAGGGGAACAGGGATTAAGCAAAGACTGTATCTATAGCGTCCTTGCAGCGGTCACTTAAGTCTCTTGCGAAGGTATAGGGTTCTTGAGGAGGGGCCAAGGTCCCCTAATACTTCCTACTAGTCCCTAAGGCTCCCTAAGGTTCCCTAAGGTTCCGTAGGGTTTAGGGTTTAGGGTTTAGGGTTTAGGGTTTAGGGTTTAGGGTTTAGGGTTTACGGTTTAGGGTTTAGGGTTTAGGGTTTAGCGAGGTACCTACCCCTTGACCCCCTTCCCTTAAGAACCTTATAAGTTAAGTTCCTTAGCAAGAGCCCAGGGGGCTGGTGCGGCTCCCAAGCCGCTACGTGTCAAATGGTCACCAGGGTTCAGGGCTTAAACCCTAAACCCTAAACCCTAACCCTTTAACCCTTAGCCCTTAACCCCACACCCTAAACCCTAAACCCCACACCCAAACCATAAACCTAAACCCTAAAGCCTAAACCCTAAACCCTAAAGCCTAAACCCTAAACCCTAAACCCTAAACCCTAAACCCTAAACCCTAAACCCTAAACCCTAAACCCTAAACCCTGTCCCAGCAAGGAGCGTCAGCAGCAGCTGCTCAGTGGGATGCAGCTCCTCAGTTCTCTACCAGGAGGGAGGGCCGGGAGCACGAAGATGCGGTTTGGGATTCAGGGCCTGTGGGGTTTAGGGTTTAGGGTTTAGGGTTCAGGGTTTAGGGTTTAGGGTGTAGGGTGTAGGGTTTAGGGTTTAAGGGTTCAGCCGCAGAAGGTCTCGAGCTCATGGGGCGTGGGAGGGTGAAGAAGTGGCGGCATATGGCACATGCATCGATGATGAACGGGGAAGGTGAATCCCGAGAGTCTGCCCGTTCCACTTTACCCTCACCCCCGCGCTCCATGTATATATGGGAGTTGATCAAAATACCAGTTCCCAAAATTACCCTATATTTCCCTCATAAACCAAAAGGAGCTGTAAATAATTTCCCAAGAAGGACCTTACATCAGCCCCACATATATGTATATGTCTAGTGCAGGGCTGCCACCCCACCCCCCCCCCCCCTCCCCCTTCCCTTCCCCATGGCCACCACCCCTTCCCTTCCCCATGGCCTCCGTTCCCCCCCCCTCCTACCACCCCTCAGGCCACCACCAGCCCATGCTTTGGTTAGGTTTCAATCTCCGTTCCCCCCCCCTCCTATTTGCTTCAGAACCACCCAAAAAGTGAAAGGAATTCTTCCCTAAAATAATAGAGGGATCATTGTCTTTGATTGTTTGTTCTTAATAAAATTGGTAGTTTCCAAGCCTTATACACCCTGCAGAGGGAACCCTCTTTCGCGGGAGGTCGTGGACATCGTGGATAGAAGCGGAAGCACGTACCCAAATCTCACTTCTGGGGCCGAGGCCTCAGCGGGAGTTGAAATCCTTCTGCACCTTGACCTTGGGATGTTTCCCCTTCAACGAACAGTCCTTAATCGGAACTATAGTGCCCCCTATTCTGATCCCTATTTAAGGACTGTTAGTATAAGGGGGAACATCCCAACCTTGACCACGTGTCTACTTTTGGTCTTGGGTCCGGAAAGTTGGGCTTGGGGTTTCGCAGTGGTTTCCTGCGCGGCTTCGGATCTCGGGTGGGTGGATGTCGCGGCTTCAGACCTCGCACACCAATAATGTAGACCCGCAGATCGTAGGATCCCCTGAAAATGAGGACCCCAGTAAGGTACCCCCTAACATCGTAAGCCCTGATATTGCAGGTTGCCCTAAACCCTAAACCCTAATTAAACCCTAAACCCTAAACCCTAAACCCTAAAAACCCTAAAAACCCTAAAAACCCTAAAAACCCTAAAAACCCTAAACCCTAAACCCTAAACCCTAAAAACCCTAAACCCTGAACCCTGAACCCTGAACCCTGAACCCTGAACCCTAAACCCTAAGCCCTAAGCCCTAAGCCCTAAGCCCTAAGCCCTAAACCCTAAACCCTAAACCCTAAACCCTAAACCCTAAACCCTAAACCTTGCCTGAGGTCTATCTCAAGTCTGGGGAGAACGTCACCATGGACCGACATCGAAGCGCAGTGCGCGGGATGGGGCGTGGTGTTAACATCCGTCCACTTCCGTAGCTATGGGCCCAAAAAAAGCGCAAAAAAATATAAGGATCCTGCAAACGGGGTTTTTCGGAATCCCCCATTTTGGGGGGCACTTATGCCCCAATAGTAGGATCCTTATAAACCCTAAACCCTAAACCCTAAACCCTAAACCCTAAACCCTAAACCCTAAACCCTAAACCCTAAACCCTAAACCCTAAACCCTAAACCCTAAACCCTAAACCCTAACCCCGAAACCCTAACCCCTAAACCCTAAACCCTAAACCCTAAACCCTAAACCCTAAACCCTAAACCCTAAACCCTAAACCCTAAACCCTAAACCCTAAACCCTAAACCGCACCGACTTGGTGGAAGGATTGTCCGTCGTCGATGTACTCCGGCAGCATGACCTTCACCTGCTGGAGCCCCAGCCCTGAAGCTACTCAAGGTTTAGGGTTTAGGGTTTAGGGTTAGGGTGTAGGGTTTAGGGTTTAGGGTTTAGGGTTTAGGGTTTAGAGTTTAGGGTTTAGGGTTTAGGGTTTGGGGTTTAGGGCTTAGGGTTTAGGGCTTAGGGTCCTTCATCTACACAGCATTCAGTAGACGTAATCGTATATCAAGGGGACCCCTCCCTGTAGAGCCCGAACTCACATGGTATCACAGTGTTGATCACGGTGACGCACACGTTCAATCACGTGAGCTCTTGTTCCACCTTGGGATGTTCCCCTTAAACTAACAGTCCTGAATAGGGCTAGGGATGATAGGGGCTACTATAATCTCAATTAGTGACTGTTAGGAAAAGGGGGAATATCCCAAACCCTAAGCCCTAAACCCTAAACCCTAAACCCGCAGCCCTGAACAGGCAGCAGCGGAGTGCCGGCGCTCCAGCACGACTGCCTGCCGGGATCCAAGAGCCGCGAACCTCCGAAACACTGTTGGCGACCTTCCTCTTGAAGCCTGAGCACCCCTCTCTAGGGTGAAGGGTTTAGGGTTTAGGGTTTAGGGTTTAGGGTTTAGGGTTTAGGGTTTAGGGTTTAGGGTTTAGGGTCCTTCTGGCATCCCAAGCTTGCCGCCCCTTCGTCTGAAGAATGCCTCTACTTGTAGCGTTGTTGCGATCGGCACCTAAACCCTAAACCCTCAACCCTAAACCCTCCTCGTCATCATCGTCGGGCCGCAGGTTTTCGATAGGGTAGGCCTTTCTTCCCTTGTTTAGGGTTTAGGTTCCCCTACAAGACCCATTCAACCCAAAAGGGCACCCTGTTCATTTCTAGGATACTTTGCGGTCTCGTAAACCCGAAACCCTAAACCCGCCCTTTGGGTTTAGGAAGGGATTTCCCTAAACCCTAAACCCTAAACCCTAAACCCTAAACCCTAAACCCTAAACCCTAAACCCTAAACCCCTACGCATGGGCCACGGCCCCCCACGAATGACGCCAGAGCTCAACTCATCTTGGCAGGTGGCCTCTCCGGCGCATCTTTGCTAGTGAAGGGCTTAGGGTTTTAAGGTTAGGGTATTAGGGTCCCTAAGCTCTACTAAACCCCACACCCTACACCCCAACCTTTATGGTTTAGGGTTTCGGGATTCGGGGCTTAGGGTTTAGGGCTACCAGAGCTTCGGCCTTCGGGGGCCTACAGGACTGCAAGAGAAGCTTTGAGAAGTTTGGGGGGTGTGAGCTCGAAACCAGGCCTTCGGCCCTAAACCCTAAACCGTAAACCCTAAACCCTAAACCCTAAACCCTAAACCCTAAACCCTAAACCCTCAACCCTCAACCCTCAACCCTCAACCCTCAACCCTCAACCCTCAACCCTCAACCCTGAACCCTGAACCCTCAACCCTGAACCCTGAACCCTGAACCCTGAACCCTGAACCCTGAACCCTGAACCCTGAACCCTAAACCCTAAACCCTAAACCCTAAACCCGCACGAAGTGGAATTGCTCCAGGCCACTCCCCTGCCCGGCTAACGACACCATCCTACTGGAGTTGGACGGATCGAGCTCGCGTCACAGCCTCCAGGCCTCTGAGGGTTAAGGGTTGGCAGCATGAGGCCCATGAGGGTTTAGGGTTTAGGGCTAGGGTTTAGGGTTTCGGGTTTAGCGCTAGGGTTTAGGGCTAGGGTTTAGGGGATAGGGGATGGGGGATAGGGTTTAGGGTTTAGGGTGCTTTGCTTGGTGGGGGGCGGGGGTTCCGAAAACTGGGGGTGCCTTGATGGGGGCTTCCGATAAAGAGGATGGGAGGTTACCCATGAAGGGTTTTGGGGTGCAAGAGGGTTCCCGTCGGCGGTTGCTCTACCCTAAACCCTAAACCCTAAACCCTAAACCCTAAACCCTAAACCCCTGTGCCAAGACCAAGGCCAAGCCAACCACCCGCCTCCACTCTAAGACACATCGGGAGCATCCCAATGCCAAAAGCCACAACGTCCAGAAGTACAGGAAGTAACTGATGGGTTTTAGGGTTTAGGGTTTGAGGTTTAGGATTTGGGGTTTAGGGTTTAGGGCCCCAGAAGTCCAGAAGCCCCCGGTGAGGCTGTCCAAGTCCATGACCAGAACGCGTCCGTGGCATGCAGCTCGGTGCACTCCGACTACCAGCACGACCTGCAGGCACGCCTCAGGGCAGGGTTTGGGGTTTAGGGTTTAGGGCTAGGGTTTAGGGTTTAGGGTTTAGGGTTTAGGGTTTAGGGTTTAGGGTTTAGGGTTTAGGGTTTAGGGTTTAGGGCTTAGGGTTTAGGAATTTGGGTTTAGGGTTTAGGGTTTTATTCCTAGGTTACTCCCGGGTCTAAACCCTTTGGGGGGGGAAGTTGGAACTGGAGGGGCTCAAAACCCATCCATCGAGGGCGGTCTGAGGTGGGAATTCGGGCAGTTTAGGGTTTAGGGTTTATGGTTTAGGGTTTAGGGTTTAGGGTTTAGGGTTTAGGGTTTAGCTTAGGGTTTAGGGTTTAGGGTTTAAAGAGTAGTTTCATGGGCCCTGAACTCCTTTTAAGGGCCCATAACTAAGGGACCATGTCACTGTCCTTAGAGATTTTGGGCCTTTCAGGCTTCGGCCCTTGGGCTTTTCGTGCTTGGGGTTTAGGGTGCACTTAACATGGCCCCGCCACGGCAGCCTACAACCCGCAGCATCCTCGAAACCCCCTTTAGGGTTTAGGGTTTAGGGTTTAGGGTTTACGGTTTGGGGTTTAGGGTTTAGGGTTATACATGGGGGGGAATCAGGCTCGCCGGTTAATGTATACTTGCATGAGTATTGAAACTGAGGCGACACCCAGAAGGACCTTCAATTCCGAACAAGCCCGGAAGCCTGAACCCTCAACCCTAAACCTAAAATCTACTGGGCTTTGGAGTACTAGACTGTAATGTTTTTTTTGGTTCTGGGTTCCGATTTAAGCTACTTATACCTAGAAAGTGTATACTTTTTTCCAGGGTCTATTCCAAAGCTAAGTCTAGAACCTAAACCCTCAATTTATAGAATCTAAACCCCCAAGCATAAACATCCAAATGAATGCTCTCAAAAGCGCTTCATGGGTTGGGCACGAAAGGAAGACAGATCCAAGCTGCAACATTAATAATTGCAAAAGGATGTATTAACAATATTTTCATGTCCGATACTGCATATATTCATGTACTTACTTAGCCAATAGTTATGTTTTTGTGGGGGTTCCTTCTTCAGCAGGAATAATAAAGTCTAATCGTTTTCCCTAGGTTATCGGAGAAGTAAGTTATTGGAGAAGTAAGTATAAATACGCACACATATATATATATATATATGTATATATGTATAGATATACATACATACATTTATATATATATATATATATATATATATATGTATATATACATATACATATGAATATATATATACATCCATGTGTATATATATATATCTATCCATATATGTATATGCATATACATATATAAACATATATATATATATATATATATACATATTGTTCAGGTGACGTGCCGTTATGGCCTACTCGGCTTCGATGCCTCCGCCTGCCTTGCACCTGGCATACGCAGCTGAACTTTGTATGTACCTGTGGCTTTGCACTGCCGAGCGCGTGATGGCGGACGGCATCACTTGGGAAGGTTCAAACTGCAGCGTTTGCAAGCATTACTGAAGTCGAAAAATGTCGAAGCCCCTGATCAACACCCCTGGACTTTCGGGTTTAGGTTTAGGGTTCATAGGGTGCTCCACAGGCAAGCACTAAACCATCGAGCTGCTCTTGGCTGAGGGCGCCCTCTCTGGGACTCCGATCGTAAGTTCCACATCCCAGGATTCATCTCAAGCCGAAGATGTCCTTTCTACTTTGTTTGCCTGTCGAGGTCCTTTCAACTGCCAACTCTGTCCCCCTTAGGATTTAGGGTTTAGGGTTTAGGGGGTAGGGTTTGGGGACCTAAAACCCATGGGAATATTCAATTGATACTATCTTTTATGAAGGTTCGAAGGGGCGTATATCCAACCCCACAGCCTAGAAATCCGCTCGCCGGGAACTAAAAAAGGCCTCAGCGTCCTGCCTGGCTGTAAGACTTGTTGTGTGTTTTTGGATATGAAGCCCAAGGGAGTTTTAAGGCTGTATCTTATGTTCGACCCAGGGGATATGGAAATCATGTTTCTTAAAAAATTAAGGTTCTGAGGAGGGTATAGTGCTGTTCACTGCCCTTCTTATGAAGCGGCGCCCCCTTCGTAGATGAGCTTTACGAGGTGTATAGCACAGCTTCGCAGCATGGTAAGGGAGAAGTTCCAGCTTCAGTGCTGGCAGAGACGGAAGTCCGAAGTGCTATGCAGATCTCATCCGAGTAAAATGCTGAAACGAATCGAATCTGAGTCGTCTCTCGCAAATCTAGGGGCTGGGTGCAATGCGGGGATGGGGAGCTCCCTATCGCTGCTGCTAAGCCTGTCAACACAACCATGCCAGCTCCCGACGTCGCAACGTTGAGGCATGGGCGTTCCTTGCAGTACCAGTGCATCGGCGGTTGCCGCGCTCACAGCATGACGTAAGGATGCTTGACTTGTGGCTTGTTGAGGGTTTCAGACGTTCTACAGCTTAAAGTTCAGGAGCCGCCACACATTCAGAAAGCACTGGAACTGGGGGTTTACGAAAACTGGGGTACCTTATAAGGGAATCCTACTATTGGGTTTTTTTTTTGGGGGGGGGCCGCTTATTTTCGTACACCCCCCAAAATTGAAGATGCTCGCCCCAAGATCTACAACAATCCTAAGGGTTCCTCCTGGGCAAGCCATGACTCTCTGATGAATTCCACCCTGTAGAGTACTGAATCTGCCCCTCGCACCTCTAAGGACGGCCCAGAAGTAGCCCCAAACCCTAAACCCTAAACCCTAAACCTCAGGCCTCGGTTGGATGGCTGAACGCCACGCTCAGCCCGGACAGCGAGGCCGCGCATCTCGAGGGTTTCAGGTCTCTGGGGGGGTAGAGTTGTGCACGTGGTGGTTTCCGAAGTTAGGGTTTAGGTTTAGGGTTTAGGGTTTAGGGTTTAAGGGTTTAAGGGTTTAAGGGTTTAAGGGGTTAAGGGTTTAAGGGTTTAAGGGTTTAGGGTGTAGGGTTCAGGGTTGAGCGTTTAGGGTTTAGGGTTCCGAAATTAGGGTTACCATGTATTCTACGTGAATCCTACTACTTGGGGGTCCCCTAGTTTCGTAAACCCCCACGTAGCATGCTTGGCTTGGAAGTTCTTGCACGCAAGCGCTCTTACCCTAAATCGTAAACCCCGAACCCTATGAGCAGCCACTTCCGGAGGCAGCTCATGCCAGTACCTGGACGGCACGGCACTCAACTTTGTGGTACTTTACTGTAACTTTAGATCCTTACCTTTTACCTTTTTTGGGTTTGTTGGGTTTCTTATTAAGGCAGCTAAAAGTTTAATTTATAGCTACCCTCCTGAGTGCAGCCAAGTCAATCACAGGTTGGGAACTAGCTAAGCCCTTGGGAGATCTTATCTTTCCACTTAGTTGGGTTTAAGAGGATCCTATTTAGGAATTCCTGGACCCCCAAACCCTAAACCCCAAACCCCAAGCCCTAAACCCTACTATTTTTCAATTGTTTTTCTCCCGCCATCCGGGAAGGAGCGGGCTGGGATCCGAAGGAAAGGTTGCCTTCCTGTACCCAGATCCTCCAAAACCCCTTAATCAAGGAATATTCCCTGATTCATATACAAATTCCTCAGTATAAATTAGGGTATATTCCTTAATTAAAGGAAAACCCCTTAATAAAGGAATATACCCTAATTATAAATTAGGGTATATCGCTTAATTAAGGATTAAGGGTCCTCAGTATGAATTAGGGTATATTCCTTAACTAAGGGGTTTTGGAAGATTTGGGTGCTCGGACTGCCCCTGCAAGTTGCTGGAGCCTGGCACTTGCAGCTGTTGATGCTGCATGCGATGGGATTTCGGAGAAGGGTTTAAGGTTTAGGGTTTAGGGTTTTGGGTTTAGGGATTATGGTTTAGGGTATGGGGTTTAGGGTTTAGGGTTTAGGTTTAGGGTGCTTGGCCCCTGAGGTGCTGTGCTACAGCATCAACACCGAGTTCTCTGGCGACATCAACTTGCCCATGCCTCGGCATGCATGTAGTGATGGGCTGTGGTGACCTGTCGCTTTGTTTTATGACGGGCTGAGGCTTAAGGATATTTGCTGCGTTTCTGCCTCAGCAATCGTATCGTCCTAGATGATCGTGGATGTCATGCTTTTGGGTTTATGGTTTAGGGTTTAGGGGTTTAGTGGATGTCATGCTTTTGGGCACTGCCGGCAGAGGGGCCGCTGGATGTGCGCATCATGGGTCGAAGTTCGAAACCCCGCAAAACGGGAGCCTAAGCAGTTGTCCATATTCATAGACCCCCGACGTGTATACACACACATATACATATATATATATATATATATATATATACGTATACATACATACATACATACATACATACATACATACATACAGGCATACAGGCATACATACAGGCATCACACAAAATGCACAAAACACCCATTCCATCCAAATGGTGTTCGAAATGCACATATATATATATAAACATGCACACGTTGGGGCATGTCATCCATAGCCCCCCCCCCCCCCCCCTCCCCCCTGAAAAGGCGTAAGAGTCCTTTAGAGCCTCATAGAGCCTGTATCAGCAGCTCAGCCTCTTAGCTCTTTGGTCCCATGCCTCAGGCGCTGTAAGGGCGGCACCGTGCGTCCCTGCCCCAGATGCTTTAGGTTTAGGGTTTAGGCTTTAGGCTTTTAGGCTTTTAGGCTTTAGGCTTTAGGGTTTAGGGTTTAGGGTTTAGGGTTTAGGGTTTAGGGTTTAGGGTTTAGGGTTTAGGGTTTAGGGTTTAGGGTTTAGGGTTTAGGGTTTAGGTATCTAACCCAGACATCAAGGGGCCCAAGTATTGTGTCGTTCAGGCTTCTAGTAGCCGAATTCTTAGGTCCTGGAAGTACAGGTAAGATAAGCACTCATACCCTTATTCCCTGTTGTCCCTGCAAGGTTTACGGGCTCCGGGTATCCCTTTCAAAGCTCTCTTCTTCACAGGTGCCCCTATGAAGGCCGTTCCACCGAGAAAGAGCAGCTTTGGTTCTTGGGCTACCCCTAAACCCTAAACCCTAAACCCTAAACCCCTACCAGTCACCCCCTACAGCCCAAAGTCAGAACCGTACGCCCCGCTGGCGAGCAAGACATAAGAACAGAATTCGCAAACCCAAAACAGTTCTAAGCCGAAAGCTCTAAGCAACCTGGTGCCGAACTTAGAAGAACCCCTACTCGAACCTCCTTTTGCAGGGTTGAAGGTTTAGGGTTTGGGTGTGTCCACGACTCCACCCCCCACCTCTTTTAACCATCGTTTTTCCTTGGCACCACAGACCACCACCCTCCCATGCGCGCGCTTCAGTTGTCGACGAAAGCTGCCAGCAAGAAGAGGCCCCGAGCATCGGGAGTCAGGGCTTTAAGGTTGGGATGCTCCCCCTTATACTAACAGTCCTTAATAGGGATTAACATAGGGGGCACTAGAATCCTGATCAAGGACTGCTAGTATAAGGGAACATCCCAACTTGTAGGGTTTAGGGGTTTACGGTGTCAACTCCTCCCTGAACCCTGCATCCCGAAGGTCCTAAACCCTTATAGCCCTCTGATGTCTTAGCAGCTTTAGCAAGGCTGAGAGGCGTCGCCAGCTGTTCTTCAGAGGGGCCTTCTGCTCTGTTTTTGTTTAACTTCGAGCCCCCCCCCCCCCCCTATGCTGGAATCCTCGGCGTCCACTATCATCGAGTTCCTGGGCAAAAAACATCCTACGACCTAGACCCTGAACCTTGTCAAAAAGCATCCTGAAAGAAAGGACCCTCATGTTGAACCCCCCCCCCCCAAACTTGCTAAGTGAGCCCATCTTTCAAGATGTGTGGGGAAGCCGACAAGCTGCTGAGGGTTCAGGGTTTAGGGGTTAGGGTTTAGGGCTATTCTGCTGCCACCCGCATGCCGTCAACTTAGCCTCGGGATTCCTGCAAGCAGGTGGGGTGCCGACCTACCGGCCAGGAGCTTAGCAAAGTACTCGGGCCGGAAACCCTAAATCCTAAACCCTAAGTCCTTAGCCCTAAATGGGGGGGTTTCAGAAAAATAGGGGTACCCTTTTTGGGGGGTCCCTTAAAGGGGATTCCATTCTATCTGGGGTATAAACGGGGTACCCCTATATTCTGGGAAATACCCAAATAGCCCTAAAGCCTGAATGCCCCGAAACCCCAGACCCTAAACCCTAAACACCCCTAAACCCTAAATGGTGGTTTCCTATATGAAGGGGTGCCTTTGGGGTCCCTTCTAATACTTAGTAGCTGAGCGAGTACACTTTACACTTTCTGGCATACTATAATCCCGTATAGAACTGAAAGTGTACACCTTTTGGGGGCTCATGAACTCAGCAACTCTGTATTGGTGTCCCTTTTAATATGGAGGTGGTTCGAAGCAAGAGAGTTCCCTAAATCAAATGAAAACCTTCCTGCTGAAATCCATGCGTAGAGCCACCAGCGGTGATCCGAATTTAGGGAAACCCCTGAATCCTACACCCTAATCCCTAAACCCTAAACCCCAAACCCCAAACCCTAAACCCTAACCCTAAACCTTGACAATGATCCTGGAGACCTGTCCCGAGCCACTGAGGACAGTATGCCAGCAGCACAGCTGCCGTTGGCAACTACAGCGTGGTGCGCCACAGACCCTAAACCCTAAACCCTAAACCCTAAACCCTAAACCCTAAACCCTAAACCCTAAACCCTAAAACCCTAAACCCTAAACCCTCAACCCCAAAGATGCGCGCATTCCTCCACCACTAGGACCCAGAGTAGGCCCTTACTCCCCTTGTTTAGGGTTTGGGCTCCCTTCTACGCCCCTTTAAACCAAAAGGCCGCCCTTTTTGTACCTAGGTTTTTCTTGGGTCTAGACTAAAATTATTGAACTGACCTTCAGTATGAAGCGCGGACTCTAAAGTCCCTATGAACCCCGTCTAAGCCCTAAAGGCGAGACTTCGAGCTTGAAACCCTAAAAACCCCTGACTCCTGCAGAAATGAAGGGAATGAGGTACCCTACATCCCCCTATATACGCCCCTTGAAGGGATTATGTAGGGTACCTCATTCCCCTAAGCCCCAAACCCTAAACCCCAAACCCTAAACCCTAAACCCCAAACCCTAAACCCTAAACCCTAAACCCTAAACCCCAAACCCTAAACCCTAAACCCTAAACTGGGATCCTTGAAGGGATCAGCCTTTCCGGCCTCAGGTACGAATAAGGTTGAATTTCAGATTCAATAAAGACTAAATTCGAATTTCAGACCTGCTTCAGCGGCCATCCATCTGCCCGTCGAGGGGGTTTAAATTCGAATTTAATCCTCCAATGGCTTTCTGAATTTAGTTCGAATTTAAGCCCCTGCGAGGACCAGGGCTCCGTGTTGAGGGGGTTACATTTGAATTTAATCCTTATCGCGAAGACTTGGCTTTAAATTCGAATTTAAGCCCTGCCAGGCAGGTTTAATTCTGTATTTGAATTTAATTCTCTTTCGGAATTATGGATTAAATTCGAATTATATTGCCATACAGTCATTAGCGCGCGGGGATTAAATTCGAATTATATTGCCGAGTCATTAGCGCGCAGGGATTAAATTCGAATTATGTTACCATACAGTACTTAGCACGCGTGAGTTAAATTCGAATTCTATTGCCATGCAGTGGTGTTGTAGAGAAATCCAAAGCCAACCTAAAACCCTGAACCCCTAAGACCTCAAAGTGTGAACCCAAAACCCTCAAACCTTCAACCGAAGACCTTCAAACCCTGAACCCAAAGCCCTCAAACCCTGCACCCAAAAACCCTCAAACCCTGAACCCATAACCCTCAAACCCTGAACCCAAAGCCCTCAAACCCTGAACCCAAAAACCTTTAAACCCTGAACCCCAAAGCCCTCAAACCCTCAACCCAAAGCCCTCAAACCCTGAACCCAAAAACCTTTAAACCCTGAACCCCAAAGCCCTCAAACCCTCAACCCAAAGCCCTCAAACCCTCAACCCAAAACAAACCCTGAACCCCAAAGCCCTCAAACCCTGAACCCAAAACCCTGAAACCGCGCCAAGCTGGAGCAAGGGCCGAGAGTGTAAAAACCGAAGCGTAGAGCAAGGGCCGAGCGTGCGAAAACCGAAGTCCGAGTGACCGTGCAACCTCGTCGAACTATGAGGCAGCTTAAATTTGAATTTAATCCTTCCGGCAGGAAGGAGGATTAAATTCAATTTTAAGCTTAAGTGCTGTGCTACGAGGCTTCATTTCAGGAATTAAATTCGAATTGAATCCTTCGGCCTGCGGGGGGTGGGCTGCCCGTCCAGAATGAATTAAATTCGAATTTAATTCTTTTTTGAATTTGATTTTCATCCTCATCCCCTCAGGTACTCGGCCCTTCCTCGGCCGTGGTCTCGGGTGGCACGTGGGAAGTGGCCCCTTGGCTCAGAGGTTGTAGGGTTTAGGGTTTAGGGGTTTAGGGTTTAGGGGTCTAGGGGTTTAGGGTTTCGGGTTTAGGGTTTAGGGCTTTAGGGTTTAGAGTTTACGGACTTTTCAGGGTTTTAGGGTTTTGGTGTTTCGGGTTCAGGGTTTGGGGTTTTAGGGTTTGAAGGGCTTAGGGCTTTGGAAAAGGATCAGGATGCTACTTGGGCAACTATCTACTTTCTGATGGTCCCTCGATTTTGTTTAGACGGGGAGGGGGGGGCCTGAACATAAGGCTTCGCGTTAAAGGTAGACTCCCAAAAGGGACGATCATTCGGGAACTGCGCATTGGGAGGCTCATGGGTAGCGAGTACCGGCACTATAGGAACATGGCCCTCCATAGTAGGGCTTGGACAGATTTAGTTTAGGCATTCAGGCTTCAGTGTTGTTAATTGATATGTGTATATCCGTGTGGGTTGTTCTTTGTGCGAGCGTGCGTGGGTGTGTGTGTGTGACGTTCTGAGTCACGGTTCAGGGGCATTCATGTGTTTTGAGATGCGGGAAAGTAGCACAGCCACCGTTGCACATGAAAGCATGCAAGGACTGCGAGAGCAACACCGAGGGCAACTACGCCGCATGCTCAGTCAAGATCAGGATTCTTTAGATCAGCGTCTACCAAGGTTTAGGGCTTAGGGTTTATATAGTGACTTATAGTGTTTAGTTTTTAGGTTTTAGGGTTTATATCATTGGGTTGAGGGTTCAGGGCTTAGGGCTTATAGGATTCGAGTTTAGGGATTAGGGTTTGGGGAGGCCTGGCATGCTATCTGCAGACGAAACCAGGTGACTCAGACTTTGTTTTTTGCACCTTGGATGCTCACTGAGTTGGGCAAGATCACCGTGACGTGCGGTGCCTTGGGCAGCTACACCAGCGCGGGCCTCGGACCAGATGCTCCCCCTCTCGCCCTTGCTCTCTTTCTCTGTTTCTTTATCTTTCTCTTCCTCTCTCTCTCTCTCTCTCACTCTCTCCCTCTCCCTCTCTACGTACGTGTATACATAGAGATACAAATTTCAAGAATATATAACATATAGAGAAAGATATATGTCTGTATGTATAGTATGCATGCACGCACGTATGTTTACGTATGTATGAGTGCGTGCATGCTGCTGCTGTTGCTGCTTGCGGAACGGTGTCCCACTTGCCCGATTACCTCAGTTGTTGCAACTTCTACCGTTCGTGGACGGTTCGATGCTTGTATGCCCGAGCCTTAAATCGAACTTAGGCGTGGACAACCAGTGTGTGGAGAGGCACTGCCCAGCAGGCAGACGCGGCGTCAACAAAATTGGGGCTGTTTCGGATTGAGGCTGCTAGGCTTTGCGACCCTGTTTTGTAAGGGCTATATTCTCCACGGTACCTATCGGGTGCTTGGTGTCAACACCCATCATGTGACGTTGAGAAGCCATGTTACGTGCAGCTTCGTGAAGGAACCTCCCTGACTGTGTCGAAAGCTGGCTACACGGGCTCCGTGGTCACGCTTGTCTCTCAGCGAGGTCTTTGGGTTTGGGGTTTGGGGTTTAGGGTTAAGGGTTTAGGGTTTAGGATTAAGGGTAGGGCATGCTCGTTGCAAGATGTGGGCGCGCATCGCCACTCTGCCGCGGCTCTTAAACGCCATGCGTAGCCAAGGTCGGCGGACATCGCCCACGCTGGCACGGGCACGGCGTCCTGCAGCAACGTGGATGAGGACGGCCGGTGATCCCATGAAGAGGAGATTCTTTGGCAACAGCTTCGGGTGGGTTTAGGGTTTAGGGTTTAGGGTTTAGGGTTTAGGGTTTAGGGTTTAGGGTTTAGGGTTTAGGGTTTAGGGTTTAGGGTTTAGGGTTTAGGGTTTAGGTTACATCCTTTCACCCTCTTAGCATCCCAAGGCAGCCTCCACCCTACATTTGCCAGAACCTCCAACATTCCAAGGACCTGGCTCAAGAAAAGCGCTAGACCCACAAGCCGAAACGTCCTAAACCTTCCCCCCAACAAGAACTGCCCCAAACTCCCGAAACCCCGGTAAACCCTAAACCCTAAACCCTACACCCTAAACTTTAAACTCTAAACTCTAAACTCTAAACTCTAAACTCTAAACTCTAAACCCGACCTGAACCATAAAACCCTAAAAACCCTAAGCGATTGCCTGCGCCAGGGCCTGAAGGGCCAGGAGCTTAGTGTTCTACCCTTTGAGGTTTCAGGGGTTTAGGGTTCAGGGTTCAGGGTTTAGGGTTGAGGGTGCCCAGGGTTCTTAGGGTCGGTTCCGGGCTTCAGCCCTGAACAGACCGCACACCCGCGTGAGGAATGCCCCACGTAACGGCAGCTTTTAGACCTGCTTTGAGGCACTATTCCCGTACACTAAACCCTAAACCCCAATCCCCAAACCCGAAACCCGAAACCCTAAACCCTAAACCCTAAACGCATCCCTCAGACGCGCCAATAGGAAATTCGGGGGACTGGCCTTGCTGGGCCTCAGTTCTTCGGAGTTTAAGTAGAGGGTTCAAGATCAGGTCCAGGGTTTATAGGGTTTAGGGCTTAGATAGCATGTAAGTGTTGAGAATGTGCCGGCCGAGGCAATCTTGCCTTGACTTGCGACTGGGGCGTCCTGTCTGTCGACACGCCTGCTCCTTAAGGGACGTGCGCTTGATGCAGGGGTGGTTGGTAGAAGTTTGTGTCGTAAGCGGCTCTCCATAACAAGCCGGCGATGGCCCCGAGCTGCAATGTCACAGCCATCCTGCACCTGGCGACCCATCCTGGAAATCACTAGCTGTTTTCTGGGGTCATCTCTTAAAGTCCTTCCTTGGCCTAAGCATCCGGGTTGAGGTTTGGGGGGAGCCTGGAGCAAAGGGGATGGCAACTACGACAGAGAGGATCTTAAAGCCCTAAACCCTAAGCACCCCCCAAAACCCTAAACCTCTAAATCTCTAACCCCCTAAACCCCCTAAACCCCCTAAACCCCTAAACCCCTAACCCCCTGAACCCCTGAACCCCTAAACCCTAAGCCTCCCACCCAGGAATCCTCCCAGGGTCCATAAACCCGCGAGATGCAAAGGTCGGCGTGCGACGTGGTGTGCTTGCCTTCACGACCTGGGCAGGTCTCCCCGCAGGGGAAGGGGAAGGAAAAAGGCATGCATTATTAGTATTGTTATAAGTAGTATTTTTCATATTTGATTTTATATATGTATTCTTTATATATAATTTGAACGCTACGCGACCCGCCTCGGCCCGGCCCAGCGCATCCGCGTGAGCATGGTGATTCCGCAGTGCCCAAGTCGCTGGACCCCAAGCAATAAGGGTTGGGTTGAGGGTTGAGAGTTGAGGGTTCCGGGTTTATGGTTTATGGTTTGGGGTTTGGGGTTGAGGGTTAGTTTAGGGCTCAAGGTTCACGCTTTGGGGTTGAGGGTTTTTTTGGGTTTAGGGTTCGGCTTGGAGTGATCGTAGGGTTGAGCCAGGCCCCTTAAGGAATAAGGCGACTCTTCGGCAGGGTGGGGTAGGGGGGGGGGGGGGGGGGGGGGGGGGGGGGGGGGGGGGGGGGGGGGGGGGGAAGGGGGGTGGGGGTAGGGGAACGGGCGAGGGGCCCTGCTGGGAGGGGCTTCAACTGCCTCTGGTCCTGGGTAACTGTCCGCTTGCGGACCCCGGTTTTGCAGGAGGGGTACCCATTTGAGGCCAAAAAAAGGGTCCGAAAAAGGGCTTTGGGTGGGGGAGGATTTGGAGGGGGGTGCCTGTTCTGACAACCTATACACCTCCGGCCCGAGGCCTCAGCGGATCACTGTGTACTATGTTATCTAGAAGTGTTCATATATATATATATATACATATATGTATATGTATATACATATAAAGCATAGATGGTATATGGCAAGTTCTCGGAGCATCAGGCCTTCATTGCCGGCAACCCCTTCGACGTTGCGCCGACGCAGGCGCGAGTGCTAAGCACCAGCGCGCGCTAGGGTTTACGGTTTAGGGTTTAGGGTTTAGGGTGTAGGGTGTAGGGTTTCGGGCGCTAGGTGTTCGGCCATAGCTTCACCGGTTCGGCTCTTCTTTCGAGCACTGAGAACTTCGGTGCGGTTTAGGGTTTTAGGGTTTTTGGGGTGTAGGGTTCAGGGTTTGCCGGCGGCAGTTCAAGTGACGGCATGGCATTCTCGAAGGACATCCTTGACGGGCACAACTTCTCCATTGCCTGCTTGGACCTCTTGGCGGGCTACAACGGCCATGCCATGGGCTCGGGATCTCTCGGCCCTGTCATCTTCAAGCGTAAGCCCCAGGTTGCCTGAAGCCTACAAACCCTAAACCCTAAACCCTAAACCCTAAACACCCGAATGCAGCAAGACCAAAAACCCAAAGCCACCACAAAGCCCCGAAAAACCCTCGACCTTGAACCCCTCAATCGGCACCGGCAAACCACCTACACCCAAGACTCTAAACCCTAAACGCCCTTTGGATGCCTGTTTTTTCGAAGCGACTACCGGATCACCTCAAGGTTTTCTCTAGGGTGGTTTCCGGCGTGAGTTTTCGGGCTTTGGGTTTTTTTCAGCGTTTTGGGTTTAGGGTTTTGGGTATTTTTTGTTTTCAGTGTTCACTAAGAGTGAGGGGTGTTAGGGTTTGGGGGTTTGGGGTTTTCGGACTATGTTGGGCTTTAGAGTCAAAGTCTAGAGTTTTAGGGGTTTGCATTCGGTTTCGGGTTGCCGGGTTTTACTACAATTTTACGTCTCTAAGTTGTTTTATATTTTTAGTAAACCCTAAACCCAAACCCTATATTAACCCTAAACCCTAAACCCTAAACCCTAAACCCTAAACCCTAAACCTTTCCTGCGTGAAGGTCATTGGCACATGCAGTGGCGGCTCGGTCGTTGCAGACTCGAGCAACTGCGTGCTCGGCTCTCAGTTCGGGACCGTACTTTAGGGTTAGGGTTTAGGGTTTAGGGTTTAGGGTTTAGGGTTTAGGGTTTAGGGTTTAGGGTTTAGGGTTTAGGGCGCAGTTATAACCCACTTATAAGCCCCTTAAGTACCCCAACAAGGTTATAGTTGGGTTATAAGTGCAGCGATAATTGGGTTACTAAGTACCACGAATCCTCTAAGTAAGCCCCTCCACAGACCCCAAAACCCTAGTACCCCCCAAACTCGATCACCCAGTGTGAAAGCCTCAAGCCTATAGCTGTAAGCCCTAGAATCCATGAACCCCTAAACCCTCTAGCTATGAACCCCAAACGCAAGAAGTATGGACACTAATCTTCATAAACCATCAGTCCCTTCCACCTCAGGAAACCAAAAAAGTCCAGTCCGCTCAGGGGCATGCCCTGCGAAGCCGGAGAAGGCTTTGCGGTAACGCTCTACGACAAGACCTCCTCGGTCAACTTGACATCCGCCAGGGGCCTCAAAAAATGTTCGGGGAATGAGGGGTTTGGGGGTTTACAGGGCTCTTATGGGGTCATTCAAATTCTGGAACTACCTTGCGTTTACATCTAGGTTTAGGGTTTAGGGTTTAATTAGGGTTTAGGGTTTAGGGTTTAGGGTTTAGGGTTTAGGGTTTAGGGTTTAGGGTTTAGGGTTTAGGGTTTAGGGTTTAGGGTTTAGGGTTTAGGGTTTAGGGTTTAGGGTGTCTGGGACTTCGGGTTTTGGGACGAGACGGCCAAGGAGTGCGTGGGTTAAGCTGGGGGTTTTAGGATGTACAAGGTGTACAGTGTCCTTCAGTCCTTACAAGGGCTTAGAGGGTTCAGTTTGCCAGGGTTGGCAGAAGGTTCGGGGGGGAAGTACCAAAACCCCTGTAAAAAGCGACGGGACCACCTGAAAAGCGACACCCCGGCAACAAGTAAGTCTCGAATCCTCAGCCTTGACTACCCTAAACCCTAAACCCTAAACCCCAAACCCCAAACCCTAAACCCTAAACCCTAAACCCTAAACCTTAACTAGAATTCAGAGCGACACCCAAAGCGAAACCAAAGCAGCAGCAGTTTGGAGCGCGGCGTGCCTCGGAAAGGCCCTAACACCCAACCCCTGGCTCCTGGTTCTTAGGGTTTAGGGTTTCGGGTTTAGGGTTTAGGGTTTAGGGTTTAGGGTTTAGGTCGCTTTACAAGCTTGTTTGACATACTGCGAGATGAATGGTGCACACGGATGAGGCATCGGGTTTACCCCTAAACCCTAAACCGGAAGCCACTAAGCCTTTAGGGCTCTGGGGGCCGTATCCAGGCTTTTAGGGTAAACGCAGGGGACCAAAGACAGGGGTTTAGGGTTTAGGGTTTAGGGATTCGGGTTTAGGGTTTGATGTGTGGGCCCTGAATTTGTATAGGGTAGACAGGGGGAATTAAGGTGTCCTTTTTTCAGGGCCCATACTCAAAGAACATAGAACTGATAGCTGTAGATTGAACCCTAGCTCAAAAGCGTAAGCCCTAGATCCAAACCCCAAGAAACCAAAAAACCTCAACACCTTAAATCTAGCCCTAAAGCTCTGAAACCCTGAACCTAAACCCCTGGCCCTAAACCCTAAACGGGAAACCCTAAACCCCTAGCCCTAAAACCCCTAATCCTAAACCCCTAAACCCTAAACCCAAACCCTCCAGGACTTGGCCAGCGGCTCCACGGCCACCTTTGCATGCGCCTCCGTGAACTCCGACTACGCCGGGCGCTTGCTGAAGAGCTCGGGATTGTGGGGTTTAGGGTTTAGGGTTTAGGGTTTAGGGTTTAGGGTTTAGGGTTTAGGGTTTAGGGTTTAGGGTTTAGGGTTTAGGGTTTAGGGTTTAGGATTTTCAGGGTTTAGGATTTTCAGGGTTTAGGGTTTTCAGGGTTTAGGGTTTTCAGGGTTTAGGGTTTTTAGGGTTCAGGGTTTTGGGTTTAAAGGGTTCTGCTGTAGGGTTCTGTAGGGTTTATGGGTTTTTAGGTTTGTTAGGGTTCTATAGGGTTCTAAGAGTTGTAAGGGTTCTGCAGGCTTTAGGGTGCAGAGTTTAGAGTTTAGAGTTCAGCATCTCACCAAAAAAGGGAATTTCAAGATGCCATTCGAAGAAAATGGTTGTTTAGTCATCGACGGAGGAGATACAGAGATCTTGTTCCATCGACATATGGAGCAACAGAGGTGGAAGGTGTGCGGCATATGCAGAAGAACGGCGCCCTAAACCCTAAACCTTAAACCCTATCGGCCCTAACCATTATGAACCCCCAACCCTCAAACTATTTCTCTTCGAACGCAGGAGGCGTAGAGGTGCACCCCTGCTCAGAAGCCCAGCGACACCCTGGGTACCGGGTTCCCTGTTAAGCGTACCCAACAAGTAACCCTAAACCCTAAACCCTACACCCTAAACCCTAAACCCTAAACCCTAAACCCTAAACCCTAAACCCTAAACCCTAACCCCAAGCCCCAAGCCGTCATTAAACAAAGGGACCCAAAGGCCCATCTTCGCTTCTGCAGCTGATCGTCAGAAGGGCTTTCTTGGTTTGCGGCCCCCTCCCTCCCTCTGGCCCTCCCCTAATTCCTAGGACCGGGAGTAGGCCCTTTTTTGCTTGTTTTAGGGTCGGGGTTCCCTTATAATCCCCTAAAAACCAAAACGGGTACCCTTTTATTCCTAGGTTACTCCCGGGTCTAGATTCTTATGAGCTGAGGGTGGTGACATCTCCCTGCATTGCCTGGCAGATGCCGGGACCCGAGAATGGTGGCGGGGCATGCGTGGCTGGGTTTTCGAGGGCCTTGTAGGGGTTGTAGAGGCTTTGTTGGAGATGGTGTTCGGGCCTCAGCCTTTTTGTTGGTCTAAGGTTGAGGGTTGAGGGTAGAGGGTAGTTTCACGGGCGTTTTGGAGGTTTAGGGTTGGGTCCGGGCCTAAGCCACTGGCAGCCGAGGTTCTGCGCAAGGACCTCAGCGGCTGCGTCTGCCAGGCGGGGCGAGGGGCCTGCAAGAGATGCGAGATGCGAGTTTACGGAAATAAGGGACCCCTAATGTAGCCCCCAAATAGTAGGATTCCCGTATCATATATAGACCCCAAGAAGGTACCCCCAGATAGACTTGCTGGTACTGAGGAGGTATCCTGTTGAAGGCCCTAATGGAACAATGCAGGGGATATAAGGTACTTATTTCCTTCATTGCCTACGAAGAACCAGTAGGTGAACGCAAGAGCAGCAGCGACATTAACTGTTGAGCTCCATCCGCTCCACCTCGGAAATCTTAAGCCCATGCACCCTATAAATCCGTTGAAGCCTGGCTTAGGTTAGGTAAGTCCTAGGTCGGACAAGGGGGACCCTAAAAGGGAACCCCTTCTTAACCCTCTTCTGGCTCCCTTAACAAGGGACCTTATTCAGAGGGTCTATATCCCCAAGGGTCACCCTAATCCTATCCCCTAGTAAGCTCGAAACCAGAGGGTAAGCCTGTGAGCCTTCTCCCCCTGGACAGCTTGGCCAGTAAGTCTCTAAGACTCGAAGCCTTAGAGCTGCAAGACCCCTAAACCCTAAACCCTAAACCCAAAACCCTAAACCTCTCTATCTTAGGGTATTTAAACCCTAATTCAAAAGTCCGCAACGGGAAGTTTTCGGCCTCAAAAGTCGGCAACGGGAAGTTGTCGGGGCCTCAAAAGTCGGCAGTGGGAAGTTTTCGGGGCCTCAAAAGTCGGCAACGGGAAGTTTTCGGCCTCAAAAGTCGGCCAAAAGTCGGCAACGGGAAGTTTTCGGCCTCAAAAGTCGGCAACGGGAAGTTTTCGGGGCCTCAAAAGACGGCAACGGGAAGTTTTCGGCCTCAAAAGTCGGCCAAAAGTCGGCAACGGGAAGTTTTCGGCCTCAAAAGTCTGAAACGGGAAGTTTTCGGGGCCCCAAAAGTCGGCAACGGGAAGTTTTCGGCCTCAAAATCGGCAACGGGAAGTTTTCGGTGCCTCAACGGGAAGTTTTCGGCCCAAAAGTCGGCAACGGGAAGTTTTCGGGCCCCCAAAAGTCGGCAACGGGAAGTTTTCGGCCTCAAAAGTCGGCAACGGGAAGTTTTCGGGGCCCCAAAAGTCGGCAAACGGGAAGTTTTCGGCCTGAAAAGTCAACAACGGGAAGTCCACCCCCCCCCCACCCCCCCCCCACCCCCCCCCCCCCCCCCACCCCCCCCCCCCCCCCCCCCCCCCCACCCCCCCCCCCACCCCCCCCGCCCCCCCCCACCCCCCCACCCCCCCAACCCCCCCACCCCCCCCCCCACCCCCTCCCCCACCAGGGGACCCCAGGATCGGCCCGGGTCCCTATTAAAAATGCGATTTTTTTAGTACTGAAATCGACGGTTCTGGGTGGCCTCTCGTTTTCTGGATTTTTGATTAAAACCGAGCCTTCACCGATAGCGGCTTCTAAACCGTAGGGTTTAGGGCCCTAAGAGCATAAAGGGCCTATTGTGGGCCTTAAATTAGGTTTCGGGTTTTGGGTCCCGTTAAAAACTATCTACTGGGAACGTATTGAGTAAACTTTGTATTTTCTCAATGTTATGGGTTTCTTGGGTGGGTGGGTTTTTTTCCAACGCTTGACAAGCTGCTTGACTAGTGAATGCTTGGACTTGAGATGCTGAACCCTAAGCCCTAAACCCTAAACCCTAAACCCTAAACCCTAAACCCTAAACCCTAAACCCTAAACCCTAAACCCTAAACCCTAAACCCTAAACCCTACCCTAAACCCTAAACCCTAAACCCTAAACCCTAAACCCTAAACCCTAAACCCTAAACCCTTCCCCCCCCCCCACCGGAGGTTCAGGGGCACTTACAACCCCAATGATAGCTGCACTTGCAACCTACTCAGGGGACCTCAGGGGCGCTTATAGGCGCAGCCATAGTTGGGGTTATGTGTATCCAGGCAGGGTTGGCAAGTAAACCAAGTGACCAGGCGCAGGCGTGCAGCACTGCACCCTGCCTGGCCACCGACACCTTCTTCGTGCAGCTGCAACACCCTCAGACATACCTCGAGATTCCACAGCCGATCACAACCTCCCCCAAAGCACGCTGTGTCTCCCCACATGAAGGAGCCGGGGGCTTAGGGCTTCGGGAAGTTTAAGGGTTTGGGGGCTTATAAGCCTTCACAGACGCGTCGTGGGGAGGTGTTCTATCTCGGCCTCAGGAGTCTCTAGGAATTGGGGCAGTTCCGAAAGTAGGGGGTGCACTTCTTGGGCCTCCTTTACAGGGATTGTTGTGTCTCGCACTTTTTTTCGCAAAGCCCAGTTCGGGTGTTTTCGTGCCCACAGCACCCCTTGAGCTGAGGACGGACACGGAGGCTTCCGTGGCCATCGGGGAGCAGGCAAGCACCATAGGGGTTTAGGGGTTTAGGGTACCGCAAAAAAGCGGTGTTTAATCTTTTTCTAGAGTTGATTCTGGGGATTATAAGGCCCAAAAACCCATCCTGGAGGGCTCTAAGGTTTAGGGGTTGTTTGTGCTTCTGCCCAGCAGGTTGCGAAGGGCGGATGCTTAGCAGCCGGCCTCAACAGAGTGATAACGCTTCTGCAACGAGGCCCCTGGCTGAACCCATAGAATATTGGTAATATTTTGGTAATATTTTGGTAATATTTTGGTAATATTTTGGTAATATTTTGGTAATATTGGTAATATTGGTAATTCTGATAGACCACCCCCCCCCCCCCCCCTTTTCAAGAGGCCCCCCCCCTTCAATGAACAGGGGGGGGGGGGGGGGGTTGGCTTCATGTTCAGGCTCTTGCAGCAGTTGCTCTTGGTATGCAAACGACTTTGAAAAGCCCTCAGGGCTCTCCCCCTGCCGCCGAACTCTCCTTAGCCTCCGAACACCCCAAAACCCCACACATGCCCAGACCTGCGGGAGGATCTAAAGAAGTAGAACCCCCCGAATGGTACCCTAGACTACTAGTGGGTCATTTTTAGGAACCCTTATTGGGGATCTGCTTTTTGGATCCTCCCAGAGGACTGGGATGAAAGAGCAAGCGGCAGGTGGAGAGCTTGCAGACCATCAGTCGGACCTGCGAGTCCGTCCTGGGCCCGGGATCTTTTCTGGAAGGGTTTAAGTGTCGGTTTTTAGGGTTTAGGGTTTAGGGTTTAGGGTTCGGGGCTTCGGGGCTTCGGGGCACCGGTTCAGTTGAGCCTTTTGGGGAAAGGGTTAAGGTTGGGGAGTTAGAGTTTGGTGCTTTTTTGGGGTTCTCTCCTTCCAAATCTTTCAAGTGTCGCTCTCTCACTCTCTCTCTCTCTCTCTCTCTCTGCTTCTCTCTCTCTCTCTCTCTTTGCTTCTCTCTCTCTCTCTCTCTCTCTCGCTCTCTGTTCCGTTAAACCCTAAAGCCTATTTTCCAGGTTTAGGGCTCGTTGGGCAGAGGTCGCCCCTGGCCACGATGGCAGCCTCTCAGTTCTCTGCAGTGGAGGCCGGGCTTCTCAACGGACTACTTAGTGCCTTGAAGGGGTTTTAGAGTTTAGGGTTTAGGGTTCGGGGTTTTAAGGTTTTAGGGTTTTAGGGTAAATGTTCGAGAACTGTCCGGCTGCACGTGCTATCCGAGATCCGCAGCGTAGCCTAGACCCGAAGCACTAACCTTCAATTGGCAACGCGCAGGGAAGCTGCTGCAAAGCGTGCCACTGGTTGGAACGCATAGCTGTCATGGATCGGTTCAAACTGCCATAAACCCTAAACCCTAAGCTCTAAACCCTAAACCCGTACCAGGTTGAGCGGTAGGCTTTGAGTTTGTGGGCTTAGGGTTCCGGACTTGGGATCAGGGTCCATGACTTGCACTAAACTGGGCAGGGCCCTGACGCCCTGAGCCCTCCAACCCCCGCCCGAAACACCTCGACGAGTTTGGGGTTTAGGGTTTAGGGTTTAGGGTTTGAAGTCTAGGGTTTAGGGGTTGCAGAAAGGGGTCCCGTCTATAGGTGTTCCTCCTGGTCTCCCTCAAAAGTAGAGCCCCCTGTCACGAAGCCTTAAACCATGCAGGCGTCTTGCATCCGGACCTGTCTCTCTGTACCGAGCGGCGTGGCTGCAATGAGTTGGGCTTGGTTTTGCATTCGCCCAAACGTGGTTGGCAGCCTTTGGCCGAGGTCTGGCCAACGAAAGCACCTGGTTGAAAACGTGCCCCCCCGGAGTAGCCAAGACCCCCTGGTTCTTAGTATGGAATGAGGGAATTAGGCTTAGGGCGCGATATATATATATATATATATATGCTCACCCCCCCCATGGACCCACCGCGGGTGGCAGCCGAGTCCTAGCCAGATCAAGGGAAAAAACAACAAAACAAGAAACTAACAAAACCCAAAAAACCAACAAAAAAACAAAAAAACCATCTTTTCCAAAACTATGGGGCTGGGGCCTCCAAAAAGATGGTTTTTTTGGTTTTCTCGAGAAAAAGATGGTTTTTTTGGTTCGAAACCATCTTTTCCTCGAGAAAAAGATGGTTTTTGAGCAGCCACCCTTCGAAAAGCCATCTTTTTTTCGAAGAAAAGATGGTTCCGAACCAAAAAAAACATCTTGTTCTCGAGAAAACCAAAAAAAACATCTTTTGGAGGCCCCAGCCCCATAGTTTTGGAAAAGATGTTTTTTTTTGTTTTCTCGAGAAAAAGATGGCTTTTTTGGTTCGAAACTATTTTTCTCGAGAAAAAGATGGCTTTGAGCAACCATCCTTCGAAAAACCATCTTTTTCGCGAGTCGAGAAGAAGATGGTTTTACCAGGAGAAGACCTCCAAAAACCATCTTTTTCTCAAGAAAAAGATGGTTTCGAACCAAAAAAACCATCTTTTTCTCGAGAAAACCACAAAAACCATCTTTTGGAGACCCCAGCCCCATAGTTTTGGAAAAGATTTTTTGTTTTTTGTGAAACTTAGGCATAACCCTAGGGATTTAAGTTTGAGGGGTTTAAGCCGCACGCACTATAGGGTTTTCAGGTTCTAATCCTATAGGTATTTGCCTAAACCTTTAACCCTAAACCTTTAGCTTTAAACCCTGCAGGGTTAACCCCGTGAGAAATTTAGAGATAGACCCCGAAAAGACCCTAAACCTTCTTACAGGGTGTAATGCTTTAAAAACCGATAGGGCAGTGACTCTCACGCTTAACTTCGGTCTGTACCTGGTGGTAGGCTATCCCGCCTGCCCTCTGCTGGGTGTTGTTTGTTTTGTCTAGATCAGTGTTAGGGATCCTTTTTACTTTTTGGGTTATGGCTTTCTTGTATATAAACAAAAAGGATCCTTTTTTCTTCCTAGGGGAACAGGGATTAAGTTGTGTTGCCTCACATCTCTCACAAGCAGTGTTTGTGTGTGTCTTTTGGCGCCGCCCTCAGAAGTAGGATGTGTGCGTCTTAGCTGAGACAGTCAGAAGAGAGCTAGGGCATGTGTACCTTCAGGTGCTAGATCCCTATAGGGTGCTAAGGTTCTGACCCTAAAGGGTTTAGGGTTAAGGCTTAAATGCCCTCTAGGTTTAAATGCCTAAGTCTTAAACCCCAAACCCTTCAACCTTCATCCTATGGGGTTTGAAGGTCGAGGGTTTAGGCTTGATTGCCGAGGGCTTTAGGGTCCTGACCCTAGAGGGTCTAGGGTTAAGGAATAGATGCCTAAACCTTAAACCCTTAAGGTTTAAGCTCTATGGGCTAAGGTTTAAATGTCTAAATCTTAAACCCTAAACCTGTAAACCTTCACACTACAGAGTTTAAGGGTGTGAAGGGTGACAAATCAATTACATACTTAGGTTTAAATGCCTAAATCTTAAACCCCAAACCTTACCTAAACCCTATAGGGTTTAAAGGGTAAGGGGTTAGTGTTAATTGCCGTCTTAGGTTTAAATGTCTGAATCTTAAACCCTAGAACTTTAAACCTTCACCCTATAGGGTTTAAAGGTTAAGGGTTTAGGTTTAATTGCAAGCTTAGATTTAAATGTCTAAGTAAAGAATCCTAAACCTTCAAATCTTATCCCTATAGTATCCCTATAGGGTTTAAGGTTAAGGGTTTAATATGAACTGCCGGCACAGGTCTAAATACCTAAACCTTAAACTCAAACCCTAAACCTTTTAAATATCTTAACCCTATAGGGTTTAAAGGTTAAAGGCTGAGCGTTAATTGCCGGAATAGGTTTAAATGCCTAAATCTTAAGCCCGAAACCTTTGAACCTTAGCCCAACAGGGTTTAAAGGTTAAGGGTTTAAAATTGTTTGAAGTCTGAGACTTACATGCTTAAATCTTCAATCCTAAACCTTTAAAAATCTTAACCTTATAGGGTTTAAAGGTTAAGGGCTTGGCTACAGGTTTAAATGGCTAAGTCTGTAACCCTAAGCCTTTAACCCTTAACCCTACAGGGTTGAAAGGTCAAGGATTTAAAATTAGTTGCAGGCTTAGGTTTAAATTCCTACATCTTAAACCCTAAACCTGTAAAAAACTTAACCCTATAGATTTTAAAGGTTAAGGGCTGGGGACTTAATTACCGGCAGAGGTTCAAATGCCTAAATATTAAACCCTTAGCCTTTAAACCTTAACCCTACAGGGTTTAAAGGTTAAGGGTTTTTTGCAGGCTTAGGTTTAAATGCCTAAATGTTAAATTATAAACAAAAGCCAACAGAAAGAAAACCCTCCGTGTGTGTGAGAGAGTGAATTAAGGGATACAGTCAAAAATCCGGTCACCGGAAAATCACCAGACTTTGCGGCACTTTTGCAAAGATCAAGGCCCGCGGTGGGTCCATTGGGGGGGGGGGGGTGACCATATATATATATATATATACACCCTTTGTGGGAAATGTGTAGGGCCCCAATTCCCTCATGCCCTACTAAGAACAAGCCAGAATAAGAATCATGAGAGAAGTCCGCATCCCTAAACCCTAAACCCTAAACCCTAAACCCCTGACCAGTTTTTTTTGGGGGGGCACTTCGGGCAAGAAGGCGTGGCTGCGATGCGTCCACGACTGCCGCTGAGGCAGTCGAGCCCCGCATGACCATCTAGGTTTAGGGTTTAGGGTTTAGGGTTTAGGGTTTAGGGTTTAGGGTGTTTTGAAGGGCAATCCTTTCCATCTACCATCCCCCTTGAGGGTTTTTGGTTGCAGTTCCCCCAGGTCTTGGGTCTCAAAGCTGAGCTGCCGCGTATCAGCTATAGCTTTTTATACGCTACACGTAAAACTTAATGTAGAAATAGCCGCCGCGGAGCTGTAGGTTAGTGGAGTTCCAGGTGGGGTCTATAGGTTGGGAGGTTGCCCCTTATACTAACATTACCAAACAGTACTTGATAGGGATTCTAGTGGTCCCCCCCGATTATGATCCCCATTAAGGACTGTTAGTAAAAGGAGGAACATCCTAATTTATGGGGCTTGGGATTCATCAACCCGAGCACTTCTCGCGCCAGTTCAGCGTGGGCGGCATCACTGCACATGCGACGGCGTCGCAGGCAGCCCACTCAATCCTGGCGCTCAAGGTGAACCCTAAACCCTAAACCCTGAACCCTAAACCTAAACCCTAAACCCTAAACCAACCCTGTATACCCTGTAAGAATTGGCTCTTGTGGACCTGGAGCGTGTGGGCTTTTCAGGGCGGTTCTGTAGCGGGGTTCTCGCCTTGCAGAATGAGGCGCTTTGGAACACTGACACTGTGCTCTAAAACCCTAAACCCTAAACCGTAAACCCTAAGCCCTAAACCCTAAACCCTAAACCCTAAACCCTAAACTCTAAACCCTAAACCCTAAACCCTTTCCCTAAACCCTAAACCCTAAACCCTAAACCCTAAACCCTAAACCCTAAACCCTAAACCCTAAACCCTAAACCCTAAACCCTAAACCCTAAACCCTAAACCCTAAACCCTAAACCTTAAACCCTAAACCCTAAACCCTAAACCGAACCCTAAACCCTAACCCTAAACCCCAAACCCCAAATCCTAAACCCTAAACCCTCAACCCCCTCATGGACCAGCGGGATGGCATGTCACTCCAAAGCAAGCAGAGGCCGTCGCCCACAACGAGCGCTTCGTTTGGGGCAGCTGCTCCTCCGTGAATCCCAGCTTCATCGGGGTCGGGGCCTCACGGAAGGTTTAGGGTTTAGGGTTCAGGGTTTAGGGTTTAGGGTTTAGGGTTTAGGGCCTCATGGAAGGTTTCGGGTTTAGGGCAGTTAGGTCAGTTTGGGGTTTTCGAAGCTGAGTGGCAAGATTCTAAAGAGCCACAGGGCTTGATCCCCAAAATGAGACAACCTAAGAGTCCCTTTTTCGGCTTCGAAAGAAGGGTTTAGGGTTTAGGGTTTAGGGTTTCGGGTTCCGGAGCTCGCAAGCATGCGCAAAGACCGTTCAGCCGAAGAGTCCCTTTAAACCGTAAAGGCCCTAAACCATAATTGGATCAAGGGTTTAGGGTTTAGGGTTTAGGGTCAGTACGCCACTGCAATCCACAAGGACTACTAGAAGCCCCGAAGCCTCAGCTGTGAGCTCAACCCTGAAGCCCTAGGGTGCAGGGCTTGGGGTTTAGGGTTTAGGGTTTAGGGTTTAGGGTTCAAGATCCTAGATTTAGATTCCATGAACCCTATACAAAGCCCTTACAGTAAACTCCAAAAACATGGAACATGCTTATCCCCATACCCCACAAGGCATACTAAGGGGAATCCCAGCTCATCATCCTTAAGCCATGTTCCAAGTTTCTGGGTTTAGGGTTGAGGGTTGAGGGTTTAGGGTTTGGGGTTTAGGATCCTAAACCTAGTTTCCATGAACCCTATAAAGCCCTTAGCGCTGAAGACGCCCGCTGCCCCCTCTGAGTCCGTGAACGCCACTTGCTACCTTGGCCAACTCCGCGTGGATCGGAGCGGCTGTGAGCCTGGAGCTCTGCTTAGGGTTTAGCGTTTAGGGTTTAGGGTTCAGGGTTTAGGGTTTAGGGTTTAGGTTCTGTGCAGGGCCTGGGGGCTTAGCCATTTGGGGCTTATAGGGTCTGGGTGTAAGGGATTTACGGTGGGGTTTCGGGTGCCGGCATGTACCGTGCAGAGGTCAGGGCTCAGGGTTCGGATGCTCAGTCCTGCACCTTATTACTGTTCCGCGCGGAACTTTGAGGGGATTCGGAGGTGTGAGGTTTACGGTCTTTTGGTGTCTTGCAGAGCGTAGGATTGCGATTCGCCGTGAGCGAGTGCTCAAGCCCTATTGGTTCTTTCGATTCGTGAAGTTCGGAGCTGCAGCATCTCTAAAAAGCTAGGGCCCTGAGTAGGCCTTTATTCCCGTTTTTATTTTCAAGAATGTCGGTTCTCTTATAATCCCCTTTAAACCAAAAAGGATGCCCCTTGTTTAAGATGTCGGTTCCCTTAGAATCCCCTTTTAAACCAGAAAGGGTACCCCCTTTGCATCCCTAGGTTTCTCCTGGGTCTAGGAGCCATGGAGGGCGCTGCGCCTGTGTCGCGTGCGACTGATGAGGAGTCTTGGTAGCCCACTGGTACCCTTCACCCTTTTTGGGGCTTCCGGGTTCCCTTACAAAGTAACCAGTTTAGGGTTTAGGGTTTAGGGTTTAGGGTTTAGGGTTTAGGGTTTAGGGTTTCTTGCAATAATGGCTGCCAAGGAGTGCATGCGGATGGCTCTGGAGGAGGCCAGGGCTGCCATGGCAGAGGGCGAGGTGCCCGTGGGCTGCGTCTTGGTCAGCCACTCGGTAGCCCCCGTGGTAGAATTGTTCCCGTTTTTTGTTGTGCAAAGTTGCCTTTCATACAGCAACCCTAAACCCTACACCCTACACCCTAACCCCTAAGCCCTGGACCCTAGACCCTAGACCCTAAACCCTAAACCCTACCCCAAAAAGGGTGCCCTTGACAGAATGATGGGTTAATAGTGATGGTTGCTGGGCTACCGAGGCCAGCACACCGGGGAAGTGCTTGCACGTGCTGGCAATGAGACGAACCGATCGCGGAACGGCACGCGCCACTGCGAATTCGTGGCCTCTGAGAAGGTACTCCGCCAGGCAGATGGACAACAGTCTCTGCGAAGTAGTCGGCTCTACGTCACCCTGGAGCCCTGCATTATGTGCGCAGCCGCGCTGCAGTACCTGGGAGTCCCTGAGGTCGTGTTTGGCTCCGCGAACACCCGCTTCGGTGGCTGCGGTGGGGTCTTCGAGGTCCACAGGATGCAGGCGCCCAAATCGGGCCCGGGCGGAGGGGCGGACGCAGAGCGGCAAGCCCTGAAGGGCTTCGCGTGCAGGGGCGGGGTCCTCGCGGAGGAGGCTGTTGACCTGCTTCGCGAGTTCTATGCAACCGGGAACCCAAATGCTCCAGAAGCAAAGAGACATCGCCCGCTAGCCAACCCTGCATCCGAGGCAGCTCAGCCTGCAGACGCTTCATGACGCTGCAGTGCTCGGTTGGCACTCCAGCAAGCATGAAGGACCGACCTCTCCACTGCGAACTACCTATTGAGGTGAAGCAAATCCAGCAGCCTTGTGGAAGTATGGATCTGCTTTTTGGTGCCACACCAACAACTGGTCAGAGCTGATCGGATGTTGCGGGGAGACAGTGCAAGCGTGTTCCAGATGCAGCGCTTCGTGTGCTCCTTGCACGAAGGGGAACCCATCTTCCATATGCCCCGGGTCCTGCAGCGCCTCCGCGTCAGGCTCGCAGGAAGCAAGATGAGGTCAGCGAGCCCATGTCATGAGCCTGGCAGCGTGACGCGCGCAGCAACTCGCAAAAGGGGACACATTGGATGAGCAGTAATTACGGTCGTCCGCATTCAAGTAGGAGCTCTCCGGAATGAATCAGGCCCGGTGTCTACAGACTCAGAGCCCGTAAACCCTGCAAGCGTCAAAGATCTCCGGACAGCAAGGAGGTTTCATCTCAACCTCCTGAACCCTAGAATTCATGACAACGACGCTCAGGTTAGTATCCACAATATCCGTTTAGAGTTCAGAGTTTAGGGTTTATAGGGTTTAGGGAAGCCTGAAACCCCCCAGAGCCCGAAGCCCTTTTTTCAAACCCTAAGGCCTTATCAAGATCCCATCTTTCCGATTCCCGCTACTTCTGGGGGCCTCAGTACTGTGTTTTCAGGGGTTTTAGTAGAACCATTAGGTCTAAGCCTGCAGCCCGAAACCCTAGACCCTGAACCCCCCCCCCCCCCCCAAAGCCCTAAACCCTCAAAGTCCTAAACCCTAACACTTAAACGCCCTAAGCCCGAAGCCCGAAGCCCTAAACCCTAAACCCTAAACCCTAAACCCTAAACCCTAAACCCTAAACCCCCTGGTTTGGGTTCAGGCCCAAGCCTTGCGCCGCCGGCACTTCGGGCGACTTCGTGCTGGGAGGGGCCAGCACGCAGCTGGCGGCAACGGCCCGCGGGCCCCGGCTCAGGTGTTTAGGGTTTAGGGCTTAGGGTTTAGGGTTTAGGGTTTAGGGTTTAGGGTTTAGGGTTTAGGAATTTACGGCTCAGGGTCTACTGTGCTTAGGGCTTAGGACTGTTTTGGACTTTTTGGGCTTTAGGCTTCAGGGGTTTAGGGTCTACAGGAGTTTAGGGTCTACAAGGGTTTACAAGGAGGGGCCCCCTTACTATACGTACTAACTATATAGTCAAGGGACTTATAACATCTTAGAACCTAAGTTAGGGTTCTTATAGCCCAATTTAGGACCCTTATACCTCTACTTATAACTAGGGGGGGGGGGGGCCTACAGGGCTTAGGGTTTTCAATCTTTGGGGCTTGTGGGTGGCAGAAGGCTTAGGGAAGCTTGGCACAAGCAATCAAAGTTTATCTCATAGTTTGCGCCCGGTGAAACACATAACTACAAGTTCGGTGAATATCCTAAACCCTAAAACCTAAAAGCTTCTAAGTGGGGCATGTGCGGAGCTTCAGGGTTGTGGAGTACGGATGCTTGCACGTGCCCCCAAACACCCTCCAAGCCCCAATACCACCCAAAAACCGAAACCGCCCAAGGCCTTCGTGCCACACTTGGGCGTGACGAGCTTCGACTGCTCGGCCGTGAACCCCGACTTCTATGGCACCTTCGAGGCTACTTGTTTCCTTGCCAAAAGAGCTACTTCTAACCCCAAAACCTGCAGATGTGTGGTTTAGGGTTCAGGGTGTTTGTGATTTGGAACCCCCTTCAAGTAGTTTGAGAACCTCCAAATGCTAGGCATCACCTAACAAAATGCTGGGTTTGCTAGGTGCCCAGGCTCCTCCTTGAACGCACCCAACCGGTTTAGGGTTTAGGGTTTAGGGTTGAGGGTTGAGGGTTGAGGGTTGAGGGTTGAGGGTTTGGGGCACACCCCCGTTACGAACCCTCGGAGCCCTAAGCCGCATGGCCATTGAGATGGTATGGGATGAGCATACATCGGCTGCACACGGGCTTTCTTTGTCATAGTTGGGTAACATTTTACATTTTTTAGGGTACTTAAAGCCAAATGTTTAATGCTATCCCAACCATGCTTTCCTAGAAGTGTCTGTACGGTTTCTTGGTCTATGGGGGCTTCCGGAACACAAGACCGCAAGATCAAAGTCTGAGGTAGGGATCTTTAGGGTCTAGGGTTTAGGGTTTAGGGTTTAGGGTTTAGGGTGTTTGGGCGCTTCACTGATTAGCAGGCGGCCCCATAAACCCGTCGAAGTTCACCTCCCAAAGCCTCTTCGCAGCTTCAAACCCTCGGGCATCGAAACCCCTAAACCCTAAACCCTCAACCCTCAACCCTCAACCCTAAACCCTAAACCCTAAACCCTAAACCCTAAGCCCTAAGCCCTAAGCCCTAAGCCCTAAGCCCTAAGCCCTAAGCCCTAAGCCCTAAGCCCTAAGCCCTAAGCCCTAAGCCCTAAGCCCTAAGCCCTACGCCCTAAGCCCTAAGCCCTAAGCCCTAAGCCCTAAGCCCTAAGCCCTAAGCCCTAAGCCCTAAGCCCTAAGCCCTAAGCCCTAAGCCCTAAGCCCTGGCCTGAACCCTATACTCTTGAAGGCAACCTGTGCATTCGGCAACATCACAGGGCCAACGTCCACCTGCTTTAGCCCCAGAGCCTGGCGCACCACTTGGCTATGTGCAGCTGTTGGAAGTTTTGGGGTTTAAGGGTTTGGGGGTTTAAGGGTTTGGGGGTTTAAGCGTTTAGGGGTTGAGGGGTTTAGGGGCTTAGGCGTTTAGGGGCTTAGGGGCTTGGGAGTTTTAGGGATTTAGGGGTTTTGGGGTTCGGGGGGTTTGGGGGTTTAGGGATTAGGGTGGGTTTAAGGTTTATGCTAAGGTTTGGCATGTGGAATTTCGATCGTTGATGCCACGGAATAGGGCGGCCAAGCATAGCCACCGAGGCATTGAGAACCCCTGCATCAACGGCACTTCCGTGGAGGCCCACCCTAAACCCTAAACCCCAAACCCCAAACCCTAACCCCTAAACCCTAAACCCTATGCGGAGCTGCAGTTGGTATTGTAGAAAGGAGTTGGTATTGGAAGTTGAAGGGTCAATGAACCCGGTAATCTTATGGCTCAAGGCTCAAGCCATGACCAAAGCGGTCGAAGGTTTCGTAAAAAGTGTGCCCTTGGTTTGGGGTCTTGTTGTTTGGTTGTTGGTTGTTCCAGGGGAATCAAGGGTTTCTGTTGGAGTTGACTGTTTTGTTCCCTGTCCTCCTTCGGTTGCCCCCCGAAGGTTATGAGCCCAAATTAGGCTCCCTGTGGGTTGGTTAAGATTTTATCTTTGTTTGGTGCCATGGATATGATGCGGCGTCGATCTGAACCTGGACCATTATCGGCGGCCAATGATGCCGAAGAAAATCGTGGTGATGGGGGTGAAGAACGACAACAAATGGTACAAGCGCTGACAGATGGTAGGGAGGTTGCAATGATACAACCAACGCCTCAGGTGGAAAACGAAGTGGTTCCGGTTCAAGCAGCAAATCCTTTCTGGAGCGAGCGGGCTCAAGAAGAATTGAGACTTAGGCAATCAAGGCCGGCAAGTCTTCCCGCGAGCGGAGGGGATAGAAGTGGTGAAGGTACGAGGAGGCCGCCTTCGCTGCAAGATCTTTTGGGTCAGGAACCTGCACCTGTTGAGAGACCATCGTCAGGCTTAATGGGCCAAATGGAGCGAGGTACTATTGGTGGAGTGCAAGCCGACGAAGAACTCATTCCTGATGTTAGTGGTGAAGAGCAAACTGAAGATATGGCGGTGGTAAAGCGTGCGCTGAAAGAGTTGCTTGTGCAAACAAAGGAGCTGGGGAACAGGTTGCATCGGGTGGAGGAGAAAAGCTATACCTCTGCTGCATCTGGGTCAGCTTCAAGGGCACGGAGCTCTGGAGTGGTGGACGCAAACACGGCATATCCTCTAGGAATGACTCCAGAGAAGCAGTACCTGCCAGGACAAGTTTTCTACACGGATGGTATGGGTGGTTTTTGGACTGTGTTGCCGGATGGGTCATGGCTGCCTATTGAGGGCTACGATCTGCCAAAGGGTTGTGATCTTCAATCCTTGCCTGGGTCTAGGAAGGGGGATGTTCAAGTGGAGGATGAAAAAGAAGTGCCAATGATGCATGTAGCTGAAGGGAAGAAACCCTCCAGATTGCCTCCATTGAATTACCCCACGGGAGGTCCTGCAAGTGGTGGATATGCAAGTGGACCACCTGGTTTAACACATGTTCCGATTACTTCCGTGCCGTCAGGTGTTGATGGTTCTGCCGCACCTGTGGGGAACCAGCCCGGTTTTGTTTCAGCTCGGGAAACTGCAACGCAAGAGAACTCAGCAGGATCGGGCGGATATACAATGGTGGATGATGTTCCGTATCGGTGGAAAATGGTCGCTGGGAAGTTGGAATTAGAAAAGGTTCCGCTCACAGCTGTTACGCCCGGTATAGGACATGGACTACCTCAAGGGCCTGGTGGAAGGGTCAGTTTACCTCCTGGAGCAGTGGTGCCACGTGGTATGCCAATCACTGGTGATAGTTCTGGAAGCGAACGTCCGGAGGCTCTCGGGAAGCATGTGATGAGCCTTCCAACTTTGGCAGACTACACACCAAGCAATCCGACGGCACTGGGTGATTGGATCGCAATGATCGAACCAATGTTGTCTTCGCTGACAGATACAGGAAGAGTGTGGTGGCAATGCGTCTACTCAAAGGCATATCAAGCGTATGCCAAATGGTTGAGTGTTTCTCCGCTGGAAAGGTTGGGCATCAAGGCTGAGCTGGAAGGGCTCAAAGTGGTTCAAACTGTGCATGTTTTGTTGGAGCAGAGAGCGGTGTCCTTGCTGTTACACGCGATCCCGGAGAGATTGAAGACCGAGATCGTTTCCACTCGAATGTTGGGGTCAGTGATGATATTTTACAAATTGCTGACGGTCTACCAACCAGGTGGAGCAAATGAGCGCAGCACAATGTTAAACTTCTTGGTGCAACCATCCTCAGCAACCTCGATCTCAGAGGCTATTAAGGGAGTGCGACAATGGGCGCAATGGCGTTCCCGGTTAAGGGAGCTGCGAGCATCCGAGCCGGATGCTACCTTGCTTATCAAGGGATTGGATGCTTTATCATCCGCGTTGCTGGCAAAACACCCTACGGTGCATTTCAGAGTGGCATCCTTCCGGGAGAAATTGGGGGTGGACTACTCGCCGACCTCTGAAACTGCGACACAACTAGCTGAAATGTTACAAGCAGAATTCGAACTGCTATTGCATAGCGCTGGTGAACAAGAGGTGAAGCAGGACTCGGACGCCAAGAAAAGGGCCAGGTTAAACAAGGCCCAAAAGGGAACTGGTGACGAGACGGAGGAGGGTGACAAAGGCAAAGGGAAAGGAAAAAGGTACAGCGGAGATGGTGAACGTCCTTTCTGTTGGATATATGGGAAGACAGAAGCAGGCTGCAAGTTCGGATCACGTTGCAAATTTCGCCATGACAAGGACTCCCTGGAGCGTGGAAGATGTTTTGAATGTGGGGCCGTTGGCCATTTACAGCCGCAGTGTCCATACAAAGATGGTGTAAGTTCCAATGCGGACTCAAATCCTGAAAGGAATAGATCTAAAGGGAATTCTCCCAAAGGGGGAAAGGGCGGCAAAGGTGCAAAATGGGGAAATGCCAAAAAGGCAGAAGTGGCTGAAGTGGGAGATGAGACGGCTAATGCGGGATTGGATAAAGGTTCTGCAAGTCCCTCATCACCATCAACACCCAATCAGGTTCTTGCTGAAGCGTTAGAAGTGCTGAAATCTATGAAGCTGTCATCAGCGCAGTCAGCATCAAGCGGGGATCCCAGTGTTCGGATGTTATGTGACTCTGGATTATTTCAGCAGGAAGGGAGAGTGGCGTTGGTGGATACAGCTGCTACGCATCTTGTGCGGACGCTTTTTCCATGGGAATGTTTACCCGACACTACTGTTATGGTGCAAAGCGCGCTTGGTGGTGTGACAATGAGGATTACAGAGAAAGGGACGTTGATTAGGGAAGACAATGGGCCCCTGATTATCCCTCTCTGGTTGATTTTGGAGTTTGGGGCGAACCTCACCGTGATCAATGGGATGTGTCACGTGAGTGCAAAATCTTCGCTGGACCAACTCTTATGGTTTGAACATGGCTGTTTGGTTATGGATTACAAAACAGCTGAGAAAATGGTTTTGCATGCTGAAAGGCAGCGTGCGTCTTTGTCCCATTCTCAATGGAGGAATGGAAGGGCGGACTGTGGAGTCGGTTCGTCTGATGCCACGTTGTTGCCGAAGCAGGGAGAAGGCCGAGGAGTATGCGTTCTACATGTGGCCAGGGTTTCTGACACCAATGAGTGTTCGGGAATGGGCATGTTGGACTCGGGAGCATCACATCCTCTCAGATCACTTCGTCCTGGTGAACAGCTTCCGCAGCAAAAGGTGTTGGTGTCTTTAGCTGTTGGATCTCGGGAGATGTGTATTACCCCAGGTGGGACCCTGGTAACTCCTGAAATGGTAGATCCACTAGTGCCAATTGGCAAAGCGAGCGCCTTGGTTGGTCTCAGAGTTCAGTGGCGTGGTGGCAAGTGCACAGCCTCACATCCTGTTCTGGGAGAACTTCGCGTTCGTGATCTGAATGGGTGCCCTTGTTTGGAAAAGGAGGTGGCGCTTCAGATCATTGATGAAATGGATTGGTGTTCACCAAAGCAAGCATTGAAGGTGGCACGTATGGTTCAAGGGTGTCCGAATACGGACAACGAGGTGGCTGTAAAAGCGTCGTTGCAAAGCGCAGCGCGGACAGCGTCAGCGAATGAGGAGGAGTTCGTCCAGGCATGCTGGCGGTTTCTTCGGTGGTATTATGGGGACAGAAAATATGCTGATGGAGCTGTTGCCACGTGGAGATATTGCGGCGTTGCCTTTCAACCGTCATAAAAGGAGACGGCTGGCACGAGCAAAAAGGGTGGTGGTACACCTATTTTCGGGAAAACAAAAATGGCATTTTCCCAGTCGGGATGTGGAGGTACTGGAGCTGGATTTGAAGAAAGGCGGTGACCTACATATTTCGAGCGTCTGGAGGTATCTTCTGCATCTGGCGGCTGAAGGAAAGGTGGTTGCTGTGGTTGGAGGACCTCCATGCAGGACAGTGTCAAGGTTGAGAGGTGAAGACGGTGGTCCACCTGTATTACGCCGGCGCTGTGGGCCTGAACGGTTGGGGTTAAAAAGTCTCCCTTGGCCACATCAAGAATTAGCTCAAAAGGATGGTGTTTTACTTCTGAAGATGCTTTTCCTATATGACGTAGCAGTGCATTCAAGGTGTGGAACTGCTGAAGTCATCAATGGAAGTTCTGTCTTCTTTGGCATGGAAAGCCCTGGGGACCCTGAACTCATAGGGAAAGATTTCTCTCAGAACGGCAAAACGGTCTTGAGTGCTGAGGATCTGGTGGATGGTTCTCAGGAAGGGTTCTCAAGTCCTACCTTCTGGAGTTGGCCGGAGGTGAAAAGCTTTTGTGAGCGTTATGGAATGTACGCTGCACATTTTGATCAAGGAGCATTGGGACATGCTCTGGTGAAACCTACGACTTTCCTGGTGTCTGATATGGAACTATGGGAATCGTTGGAACAGGTTCGCGTGGTTGTTCCGTGGTCAGCAACATTCGCTTCTACCCTGGAAGAACGTATTGGACAATCCTCCATATGGGCGCGATGGGCGTTTGGATTGGTTAAAAGAATACGTCACAGGTTGGCACAATGGTTGCACGAGAGCGATGCTGAACGGGAAGCTACGGTGTTAAAAAAGGGAGAACGAGAAGGGACGTTACGGAGGTTGACAGCTGAGGAGCGAGCTTTCCGTGACCATTGCCTAAGGGGGCATATTCCTTTCAGACGTGATTGTCAAATTTGTGTGTCTGCCGCTGGCAAAGAGCGTCGCCATTTGAGGCGGAAGCATGGGG